AAATTTATGAGATAAAGTATTTTCCTAATTATGGTCAAATAAATTTGATTGACACTCTAGTGATTCTCTTTCTATGTAATAAGGCAATTGCAGTTTTCAGAGCATTAAGGCTAGTATTAAATAACGTTAAACATTCTCTTGGGTTTCAAGACACTTCTAGTAAGTGATAATGGAGAATTGTCCAGCTATCAGCTCAGAAAAAAACATGCAGATGTGGTTGTGTAAAGATAAGGGTTATAAGGAAAAAAAAATCAGTAGAATTAATACTAAAGTTGAAAGGATATCCAAGTATGTGTTGGTAGTTACTGAAAGAATTATAGCTGTTATTGCCTTGTATTTATTCCCTTGTTTCAGGTCTCATGATTCAAGTCTTAGTCCAGTTTTTCTTTTGTGGACATTTGCAATATTTACCAGTTGTGTTTTGTGTAGTCTGAATTTGCTTTCTGTTGTAGTTGAGCAAACGTCTTAAAAAGTCCTTTGTAATTTATTAAATTACTTTCTATGATGTTCTATAGAGCAAATGGAAGTTTAATTATTTTTTATTAAACATATTCTTTGACTACCCATGATGTCAGCCTCTGTACATGACAGTACTTCTGTAAATTTTATGATTCCAGTTACGAAAGAATCATAGTCATAAAATCTTTAAAAGATAAGTATACTTTCAATTTTTAAAAGATAAGACTTCATATAATTTAGACACAGCATCCCAGATGTTTCCAGTGTTTCATTGTTGGCCCAGCTTCTTGATTTTACAAACTAATCCCTATCCCATACTGAGCATTAAGCATTTATTTCCTTAAGTTTTCTTCTCTTGAGCCTTTGAAAAAAATCCAGAAAGACTCAGCTAATATCTAATCTCTTAAATCCACCTTAGAAATGCACAGTTGCTTTTATTCTTGGTATTAGGTGTTTTTTTCCAACTTCATTACTAATATTGGTGATATTTTTGCTAACGTTAATAGATATATTTTCCAATTATAAAATGAAAGCAGTGGAGTCACATCAAATAATTCATTTGACTTGAACACATCCAGCTATGCCTTGAAAATTGTACACCTTTTTCTTTTCTGTACAGAATAGCATATTAACACAAGCCAGCCTCATTTAGTACCCACCCAAACTAACCTGTTTTAGTACTGGAGGAAGAAAACGGTGTGTTGATACATTAGAGAAAAGACACACTGTGTAAGTATGTAAGGATATACTTTAACATTCTATGAGCTCAGTTAAGAAAAAGCAATTCTTGAATAAACTTAGAACTTCATGTAAATCAACTTAAGTTGTTAAATAGGCAGAAAAATACAAATATTTTAACCATGAACTCATGCAATTTAAACACTATTAAGATGTGTTTTATATAGCTATATTATGGCCTCCAAAAGCTCCACTCAGAACCTTAAAATGTGACCTTATTTTGGAAATAGAGTCTTGTTAATTGATTAAGTAATGGTCCTACTAGATTAAACCATAAATCTAATGACTTATCAAAAGAAAAAAAGATAACAGGGTACTAAGTTATGAGTGAATGCATTTTGTTGTAAGTCACCAAGTTTGTGTTAGTTTGATATGGCAGCCTTAAGAAACTAATGCATTTTCATATTAAACCAGTTACGTGGCACAAAATTTTTATTGTACTGCCCTTAATACAATGACCTATGTAGATAAGAATTCTGCACTGTGAGTTTTAATACATAGGACTAGCTCATAGTTGTAATTTGCTTAATAATGTACTCCAAAAAAAGTGACATTTGCTTTCATACATGGTTTTTTGCATCCATTTCTAATCATTTGCTTGATTCCTAGAATTGAAAATGCTTCCTCCGTTTTTAAGGATGTTGGTGTGAGGTTTATAGTGAAGCTATTAGTAGCAATTGATATACTACCATTAGCATACATTTTGTGCATGCCCATTTATCCAATTCTTATCAATACTGTGTATTGCATCCTTAAATAATCTTTGCCAAATAGGCAAAACATCTTCATGGTTTTTAAAGTTAATGTCATCCTTTCTTAGTAAGAAATAAGGTGCATATTCCAAAAAAAGGGGAGATGGAATGGTAGCAGGTAGCCCCTGTAATGCTGACATTCAAGGAGAATTGTTAACTCTTGCATAATTTTTCTTTGCATATACATATATTATTTTAGTAAGAATGAAGTTAGAATGTACATACCATTTTGTAACCTTTCATTTACTGTATCATGATTATCTTCTCATGCCATTAAAGACTCTTCCACAATATCGTAAGGGCTTTCTAATATTCTATTATATAGATCTATTTAAATGTCTTTCATATCCAGTTATTGTACATGTAGATAGATTTCAGATAGATGGTTTTTCTTAATAATGTGTAGTTAGAATTTGATTCTTCATTAGAATAAATACTGAGTCACAACACAGTTGCATTCCAATAAGACCAAAAGAATGTACCATTTTATACCCTAGAAACACACAGTGAAACTAATTCCATCACTATGTCTCCTTATCAACACAAGGCTTTATAATCTTAATATTTGTAAATTGAATTGGTAAAAAATTTTTGGCTTATATTACTTTGCTAGTAATATAAGTGATTTTATAAGGCTTTTTGTATGTCTACTGTGGTTCAAAAGTTATTTGTGTGCTTTGTGCACTGTTAGATAAATTAATTTTTCTCAGCTTGTCTATTGCTTGGTTTTAGTGCACAAGTCTTAATTGTTTTAATCCTCCCGTTTTTTAATTTCTATTGATAGTATTTTACCCCAAATTATAAACATATAAACTTTTTTTAAACAATGCCTTTATTAGAATTTATTTTGATAGCAAAGATATGAATCATAATTTTCTGAATAATCTACATGTGTTAATATGTAATATCTCCATCAGTTTGAATGTCATCATTTTATATCATAATTAAATAATTTATACTGGCATTTTTTGTGAGTTATTTAGGTCATGTTTATCATGAGTCTAGTATATCATACCCTTCTGATTTGCATATTATGCAAACAGTAGCTGTAAGAAAACTGGAGTGGCTATCCTATTAGTGGAAACAAAGTTACTGGAAAAAAAAATATTTTGTGATTAAAGAGTCAGTGTACAAAAATATAATTGTGAGCATTATATATATAAATGTATATATATACCTAACAACAGCTGCAAGTCCATTAAACCTAGCTGAAAGGAGAACTCGTTGGAGATGTCCGTACTCCACTTTAATAACTGGTCATCACTAGGCAAAGCGTGAATGAAACAGAACAGCTGAGAGCACACAGCTTTCTTTAGCATAAAGAATATTAGAAGCAATAAAAAAGACTTTAAATAGAATCATAGGTTCATAGCATGGAAATTGATTAATATGCTCCTAAATAAATCTTCAGGAAAATTTGTGCCTCAAAATGAAGAACAAAAATCTTGAAGGACCAGGCATTGGGCACGGCAGTTGAGATGCTGTGTCCCACACCGGCGGAGCTGCAGGCCAGACGGAGCGACCTCTACTAATCCCCTCTGGATCCCAGCTCCTGTTCCTGCCAGGCGCTGGTTTCTTAACCCCACCTCATGACTCCAGGTTCGTGTTAACACAGAGGGGATGGATCAGCTGCCACCAGGTAAGAAGGTAGACTTTAATCTAGGTGTATGGGGGCCGGAGTAGAGGGAGCAGAGAGAACAGTTCGTGAGATTAAATGAAGCGGCACAATGTCAACCCGTGCCTTGGATGTAGCCCAACATCTATACATCAGAAGTGTTTCCCACGTCCCATCACTCTGCAGGTGCATCCCAGCCCTTAGTAGTATCTTTGCAGCCCCATGCCAGCAGGTGTTAGCTGAGCCAACAGCTGATCTCATAGTCCTGCAAATTCCATCCTCCCACCCTTGGAAAACCTTCCACCCAACAATGTCCCAGAAGAAGAGGTCAGGGCAGGAGAAACGGTGGGCCCATACCTATAAAAGCTCCAGCCTGAATTCACATGCAGCCCTGGGCTTCTTTGCTGAGACGCCAACCTGGGCTGTCTGATTATACTCTTCATTAAACTTAACCAGCTGGGGCCAGCACTGTAGCTTAGTGGCTAAAGTTCTCATCTTGAACGCGCCAGGATCCCTCCCATATGAGCACTGGCTCTAATCGCAGTGGTCCTGCTTCCCATCCAGCTCCCTGCTTGTGACCTGGGAAACAGTCGAGGAGGGCCCAAAGCCTTGGCACCCTGCACCCCCGCATGGGAGACCTGAAAGAAGCTTCTGTCTGCTGGCTTTGTATCAGCTCAGCTCCAGCCATTGTAGCCACTTGGGGAGTGAATCATCGGAAGGAAGATCTTCCTTTCTGTCTCTCCTCCTCTCTGTATATCTGACTTTGCAATCAAAATAAATACATTAAAAAAAAAAAGCAAACAAAAGCAAAACAAAACAAAAAACACCTGTAAGCAGCTGTAAGGACAAGACCCTCCATTCCAGGCATCTGTGGGAACAAGGCTATCTACATGGGGTATCTTAGATTCGTTCTGGGTGTTAGCCCAGGCCAAGAGTTCGGGCAGCCCTGTGTACCCCATCTAGCTCTCTGAAACTCACACTAAAGTAAAACAAATGTAACAATTACTTGAAAGGCTCACATACCATGACATCCTAGGGAAGGACTGGAAGGCAGGAGGGGCGGCCCTAAGATTTTAATTTAGGCAGACAGGTTCTTGCTATTATCCTTGTATTTCAGACAAGGACACCCAGGTGAGGAGGAAATGGTATTTCTAGGAAGATTCTAGGTAGCGAACCCTCACGCATCATTGCTTTCACACTTTGCTTCTGCAGCGCAGTCTTGCTGAGTGGGCTTACGATAGAGAACTACTCCAAATACGGAGAAGAATAAATTTACAGCTTAAACCAAAGGAGACCTTTCGAGCTAATAGTTTTGCATCCCATGTTTGGCCGTTGCGGGCCGCCGGCTTGGACTACATTTCCCAGGAAGCCTTGCTGAGCGCTACGGATCCTTGAAAGAGGTCCAGCACCGTTGACCACGGCGCAGTCGCGGTGCGGGCGGCGGACGGGCGGGCGCTTTGCGGTTTGAATGGCTCCCGGCCCGGTCCCTCGGCTTTCCTGAGGACCAGCTGCCCAGGACTGTGCGCCATGCCTTCGGGAAACGACCGGTCGCCGCCGCCTCCGCCTGCTCCTCCGGCGGCGCCAGCCTCGGAGGAGGAGGAGGACGAGGACGGCGAGGCGGAGGAAAGCTCGCAGTCGGCCGGCTCGCCCACCCCGCACATCCAGCAGCGCTTCGACGAGCTGTGTAGCCGCCTCAACATGGACGAGGCGGCGCGGGCCGAGGCCTGGGACAGCTACCGGAGCATGAGCGAGAGCTACACCCTGGAGGTGCGTTCGAGGGCGCAGCCGAGGGGGGCTTCTCGGGCCTGCTCCGCGCCAGGGTGGGGTGCCATGTCCTCTCCAGACCCGGCGTCGGGCAGGCGCCGTCCTAGCGGGTGGACCCCTAGACCCCCGCGACCCCGGGCTGGCAGGAGCGGGCTGCGGATTTTCCGCGCACCGCGGTTTCATGAAGAAATGGTCTTGGCGATTTCGAGAGAGGATGGGACTCCCCACCCCAAGCCGCTGTGTTCGCACAGCTGTTAGTGGCGTCCCCGCGTCCACATCCTCGCCTGGGCTCGGTCCCCTGGGTGGCGCAGGCATGGCATCGGCCTGCGGGGACGCGCTGTTGGTCTTCGGGCTGTTTGCGTAAACAGCTGTGGACATGTCCCCCCTTCCCCCTAGGCCCCAGGACCACCAGGGTCTGGACGCAAGTCCCCGCTTGTCATTGGGAAGCGGGGTCACGACTGCCCGTAGCACCCCTTGGGGTCACCCTGCCACCCCCACCCCGCGGGAGTGTCCAGGGCTTGCGTCGCAGGGACCAGGGCTTGTTTGGGCCCTTTCTTAGGACGGGGCGTGCAGACGAGAAAAATGGCTGTTGCAGCCAGTGGCCTTCTCCTGTGTAGGCGCCTCCCCTTCACGGGCCAATGGGGAGTGACACGGAAGTCCGGTTTGTTTATCTGCCGCTTGGCCGCCCAGCTGGGTGGCATTTAAACCTCAGGTTCCTCGATTTTACACAGGGTAGCAAAGACAGACTCCGGGTGCACAGGCCTAAATAGTGAGTCAGTCCACTGTAACTGGAGAGGTTTTTATTTTCTTTGGCGCGTTTCTTTTTTTTTTTTTTAACCCCAGTGTGTTCTGCTGAGGATGGCTTTCTAAAAAGATTGTATCCTTGCCTTAATAGAATTTGAAGGCAGTTGCTAGTTTCTGCTCCCCATTGTATCAACTGAAGCAAAGGTGGTGATCTGGGTAGGAGCTGTGGAAGGCGGCCGACCTGTGCGATTTTGCCCGAGTGACTTCGGGGGGCGTCGACCTTGTGAAGTGTAAAGTGGGAGTTTTTGTCCTCGCTGTCCCAGGGCCGTCCTGGAGCGTAAGCGGGGCGAGGTGTGGCTGCTCGCTGCCCGGAAAGCCTCCTGGGGCGGGCGGTGCTGTGGCTCTCCTGCCTGAGGTGTCCGCTGGAATAAGCCTGTTTGGTCCCCGTGCTCTCCCCGCTCGCAGAGATGGACTTCCAGTTGGCACAGGTGCTTCTGTTAGCTCAGGATAATCCTGTCAACTAGATTGAACGGGGGATTAATACTCCACGGTTGGGGTGACTCAACTCGTTAAGTCACCTAATGTTTACGATTACGTATACAAGTTGCACATACTAGATGGCCGCCACGTTACTTGGTTAAAAAAAATCTTGATTTGTTTTTCCTTTTTTTAAAAAAAGATTTTTTGTTGTTGTTGTTGGAAAGTCAGATTTACAGAGAAAAGGAGACACAGAAAGATCTTCCCTGCTTTGGTTTACTCCTCAAATGGCCACAGCTGAGCTGGTCCGAAGCCAGGCACCTGTTCCGGGTCTCCTAAATGGATGCAGAGTTCCAAGGCTTTGGGCACTCCTCTGCTGCTTTTCCAGGCCACAGCAGGGAGCTGGATGGGAAGCTGGGATGGGAGCAACTGGGACAGAAGCCAGCACCCAGCACCCAAGTGGGATGCCAGTGCTTGCAGCAGGAGGATGGGTGAATTGAGCCATGGTGTCGGTCCCTTATCTTTAAGTTTTCAGGATTTACTGATTGATTGAAAGCCAGAGGTACAGAGAGGCTGAGTCAGAGGGAGAGACCTTTATCAGCTGGTTCACTCACCAAATGGCCTCCCTGGTCAGGGCCGAGTCAGGTCGGAGCCGGAGGCTGGGAGCTGCCTCCCGGGCTCCCCCGTGGGTAGGAGGGTCCCCTGCACAGCAGCCACCCTCCGCCGCTTTTCCGGATGTATTAGCAGGGAGCTGTAACGGAAGTGGTTGGGACTGCAGCTGGCACTCACGCGGGAGGCCAGCATCACAGGTGCCAGTTTAAGCCACTGTGCCACAAGGTCGGCTGCTCACCTTGTCTCTTGATTTCTTGTATTTTCTGTGCTTTTGGCTCTTTTTAATCCTCGTGGTCCTCAGCCAAGGAAATGGAGACTCTGAGACCATTAAGTCATTTACCATCATGTGGCAGAGCCCGGTTTGAGATCAGATGACCTTGAACCCCAAGGGCCGATGGCCATGAGTGGTTGGTTTCATAGATGAATCTTTAAGAATATGGGCTTTTCCAGCGAGTATGTGTTAGACACAAAAGTGAACAACGCAGGCGGGAGACTTAGCTGTCTGCAGCTGCTGGGCGTGGACATCAAGATTGCTTCCTCCACTTTGTCCCTTAAGTATTATAAATGCTTAGTACATGTAAGACCAAGGTGTTTTCTTGTTTTGTTTTTAAAGATTTATTTTTATTGGAAAGTCAGGTATACAGAGAGGAAGATCTTCCATCTGTTGATTTACTCGCCATGCGGCTGCAATGGCCGAAGCTGAGCTGATCCGAAGCCAGGAGCCTCTCTGGGTCTCTCATGCTGGTGCAGGGTCCCAAGGCTCTGGGCCGTCCTCGACTGCTTTCCCAGGCTGCAAGCAGGGAGCTGGATGGGAAGCTGGGCCTCTGGGATCAAAACCGGCGCTCATATGGGATCCTGGCAAGTTCAAGGCGAGGACTTTAGCTGCTAGGCTACGGCTCTGGGCCCTGTTGTTTTGTTCTTTAAGGAACAATATTGCTGTGAATTCTGTGTGTTCAAGGTAGACTCCCGTGAGCTGTCTCCTTTAAACCCCTATGAAAGTGTGGGATCCACGCTGTGACTGGCTTGCCCTTTTATTTCCTGTGAGATAGTCATGCAGCAGGGAGACTCTGGAACTGATAAATTCCTTCTAGCTCTTGTTAAGTAAAGAATATTATGAAACCATTTTTTACACATGTTTATTACATGATCCTTTTTTTAAAAGATGTGCAGCCTGGCTTTAATAACTATAATTGGGTTTAGGTAATTATGCATATATGTGGAAAATGAAGAATTTCTTGTTTGTCTTTTTTTTTCATTTGACCCATATTGGGTGCAGAGAAATTAAGGACACGTTCAGTGTAGGGAGAGGAAAGGTGTACCACTTCTTGATTTTTAAAAAATGTGAAGAATACCTGTTAGAAGTCATGTTTTAAGGGCCTGGTGCAGTAGCCTAGTGGCTAAAATCCTTACCTTGCATGTGCCGGAATCCAGTATGGGCATTGGTTCATATTCTGGTGATCCTGCTTCCCATCCAGCTCCCTGCTTGTGGCCTGAGAAGGCAGTTGAGGATGGCCCAAAGTTTCGGGACCCTGCACCTGCAGGGGAGACTTGGAAGAAGCTCCCGGCTTCGGATCGGCTCAGCTCCAGCAGTGGCAGCAGCTTCGGGAGTGAAGCAGTGGGAGGAAGGATTCCCCTCTGGATCTGCTTTATGTATATCTGACTTTCCAATCAGAAATAAACAAAGTAAGAACTCATGCCTTCGAAAGTATATCTTTGGAATCATCTCTGATAATAGATCCAAAGCAAACCATTGGGTTCTAGAAATCTATTTTATGTAGTCATGTGTTTGATTAGGTATGAGATTGGAGGCTTGATGTACACTCAAGGTTAAGTTTGCCCTTTCCTAGATTTAGAACAGGATAAAATACATAGAAATAACAGTGTCAGTTTGCTTACCGTGTTACACATTACCCAAAAGCTTAGTCTTAGAGAGTGGCAGATTGCTTTGCTTGCAGGTTCTGTGGGCCAGGGACTTGTACAGGACACTGGGGGTATGTTGTGGTTTAGCTCCCAGTGACTGGTGCCTCCCCTGGAAGACCTCAGTGACAAGGGGTGTCACAGCGGGATTTACCTGTGGTCTCTCCGTGCGTCCGACCAGTCCGTGGATCTCACAGTAGCCCGGCATCAGGCATCTTACACGTTGCTGCTCCCCTCCCCAGCCGCCTGTCTCGGTGAGAGGCAGTGCAGTGGACTCTGTGTTGTCCTGTCTGCCCCTGGAAGTTACGTAATATTATTTCCACTGGCCACGTTGCCTAAGATGAGTGACATGGCGGGATGCAGAGCCTGCTCAGCTTCCAGTTGAGGAGATTAGGGCCATCATCAGATAAAATCATTTCCCACATATATGTAAACAACATTTTAAATTGAAACATGAGTTTCTAATATTAAAACACATATATAACACATTGGCTAAAAATCTGATTTTCTTTGATTTTGCAGGGAAATGATCTTCACTGGTTAGCATGTGCCTTATATGTGGCTTGCAGAAAGTCAGTCCCAACCGTAAGCAAAGGAACAGTTGAAGGAAATTATGTATCTTTAACTAGAATCCTGCGATGTTCAGAGCAAAGGTAACTATGTTAGAACTGAAAGAGTAAAAGTGGTTAATGAGAAGGCTCACGAATCCCGTGATAGTAACAACTTGCCTTCTATCGTTTTGAGCGTTTGTGTCGGTGGAGTGCTGAATTTATTAAAAGCTGGTCACAGTGTTCCTGTACTTCATGAACATTGGTCTCCATTTTATTTACTTGGTGAAAATGTTGAAATGTTGAAAGTTTGCTGTGCAGGCTGCGACTCACTGTGTGATGGAGTATCTGAATGAGGGTATTGGGAAGACTTAGCAGATACTCCGAGGCAAAAGGAAATAAGACATAACACTTGCATCTGTATAGAATGTGTAAATATTTATGTTACCTTTTAGGGGATAAGCAACAGTTTATAATCATGTATAGAACGGGTCAAACAGTGTTGAAAGAAATAGCAGAAGTTAGTTCTAACTAGCTTATAATAGGTTGAATATGTTTGTGCTGCTGGGTTGAATTTTCTTCTATGGGTTATTGATGGGAAAAGGTGATTTGACATTTTGGAGTGAATTTCCACTGTAAGTTCATGGACCTAATGGTCTTTTTTTTTTAATTGTTTATTAAAATAATTAACAAGAAACGTAGTATTTTAGTTATAGTCTATATGTGCAGCGTTAACTCCATCCTGAGTTGTATTTAGGCCTAAGAACGAGGCAGTGTGGTGAACACCTGAGCTGCAAACATGCAGAAGTGGACTTAAAGTGCCACATTTTAATCTTTACAAAGAGAAGTGGAGGCAGAGCGATCCAGTGCAGTGTCAAAGAACTTTAAGAAATACAGTTGAAATTATGGAATCAGCCTAATAAACTAAACTTATCTAACATTTTAATGTAGTTAGTATAATCCTGAGTTTAAATTTTATGTGCATTTCAGAAAACTAAATTTTTTGGCCGCTGAACAGAAACAGGAAAATTTCATCTTTAAGTTTTTACTTATAGTTTCAAATTATTTACATTTTTGTCCTGAAGGACTTAATAGATTATGAAAACAGATTGGGAGACTTACAATACATGTAGCTGACGAAGGATCAGTGCCCAGAATCATATAAAGAACTATTAACAATCAATTAAATAATCGACTAACAGCAACTAAAAGTGGATAATGACTTTGTGGGGGCCAACGCTCGCATAGCTGACCGACATAGGAAAGGATGTTCAGTCTCAGCTTCGCTGGGAACTAAGGAAGCTGAGAGTAGAAATGGACATTTTGTTCTCATTAGACTGGGGAGATTTGAATTCTGAGTTTGGGCACTGTGCAGGGAATGGGGACCTTTCTTGGCCATAAGCGTCAGTGAGGGTCTAACTTGGCATCGCCACAGACACCACAGTGACTTGAATGCTCACACTCTGGCCTCCTCTCGGGGCAGTTCCTACAGACACGTGTGGACAGGTATGTGTTCATGCTGGCACTTTGTCATGCAGAATTAGAGATAACCTACATTTCCATTTGTTGGAAATGAATTCCAGCTGGAGGAATGTTTTCATGAAGTAAAATGGATGTGATCTCTCTGTGTCAACAGGAGGGAAACTGGGAAATATTTGTGAAAAAGCAAATTGTAGGACGCTACTTATGATGCCATTGTTTTAAAGTGTACATGCGAAAGATACTGCTTATGTTTATGGGAGCTTGGAAAAGCTCATGGACAGTGCAGTCAAAGGACAGCCCATTCTGGTATAAGAGAAATGTGAAATCCAGGCCATTTTTCATGAGCTCTGAAGACCGCCTGTGTAATCTGTAGTAACACATGAGCATGGGTGGGAATGGAGTGACTCCAGCATGATGGTTATCCATGAGGAAGGAGGAGGAGTGGGATCAGGAATACAGGTGGGAATTTTGGCTGTTTCTGTGGTTCTCAAAACAAACAAACCTGAAGGAAGCATGCATCTGTTAATTGGTATGTTAATAAATTGGTTAGATTTGACAGTTGAGTACATGTTTGTAGGTTTTGGCTTGATTTTGTTTTACATTTAAGAGTATTTCATACTTTATTTTTTTTTTTTTTATCACCTGAGACCTAAAGAAAAAGATTAGGAGGGTTGGAGGAATCAGGCGTTCTATAAGAGAAATTAGTTTTTCAGAGGCAAGAATTGCAATTTCATGTTTCTGTCTGAATGTGATATGCTGCATAGGAGATGTTGATAAACTTTTAATTGTTGATATTGTAGACTTTTATGCTAATTTTTAATATCCTCTCTTTAATGTCAGCCTAATTGAATTTTTTAACAAGATGAAGAAGTGGGAGGACATGGCGAACCTACCCCCACACTTCAGAGAGCGCACTGAGAGATTAGAAAGAAACTTCACTGTTTCGGCTGTTATTTTTAAGAAATATGAACCCATTTTTCAGGATATTTTTAAATATCCTCAGGAGGAACAGCCTCGTCAACAAAGAGGAAGAAAACAACGGTATGTGTTTGCATCTGTTTGGGTCAGGAGCACACATTTGCAATACTTTTCCTTTCTCAGCTTACTTGGCTTGTCTTAAAGAACTGTGGTCCTGTAAGTCTTTTTTTCTGAGTAGTTTTCTTTCACAGATACTTTTTTGCTTTTTGTTGTGTGTTAACTTTGAAGATTTTGGCTTCTTTCACATTGCAAAATAAAAATGTTTACATAAACTTAGCCTGGTCATTAAAGCCACAAAACTGCAGTTTGCATGAATCAGACTCTTAAGAGTTTGTTTTTTAACCAATTGTCTGTCCTGGGTGTGAAGCACTGCGTTTTCTTTTATTGCCCCTACAGACTATTTAATTTTTAGATCAAATTGAGCATGAACTGGTCCCCTTGAAGTGGCTGCTGTGTGTGCTTTGGGAGTAAGGAAGCCAGATTAAGGGAACGGAGAGGAAGTGGAGTTGTTGCGAGTGTGTGTCCTCTGGCCGGGAATGGCACAGCAGTGAGCTTGCTCTGGCTCCAGGAAAACAGGGACTACAAATTAGTCTCCTTTTTTATGACAGGTTTTACATAAAATGAAAGTTTCTTTTTAAGTTGGAGAAGTGTTGACATGAAAAGGAGGAGGGAAGGAGTTAGCGGTTCGAGTGGCTAGAAAGAGATTTCAGATTGTACTTGTGAGATTTAATAGGCTATGTATACCTAATTCTAATTAAGAAAATTGTAAACTCTTACAGTTTATATCACTTTGTGTACTATTAACTCAATTTTGACCTAACAGTAGTAGTCATAACATACAGCAGTTAACTGATCATTTGCTTTGGGTCAAGGATCTTTTCAGAATCTCAGTGACAATCTGTTGAGATCCATACTGGAGTGTGTGTGTGTGTGTGTGTGTGTGTGTGTGTGTGTAGAGACTCAGCCCCTCAGAGGTGAAGTAGTTTGACTAGGCGATGGGGTGTGTGTGTGTGTAGAGACTCAGCCCCTCGGAGGTGAAGTAGTGTGGCCAGGTTCACACACTTGAGTCATGTTGGCATTAGGACTGTGGAACCCTGTGCTTTGCTGGATCCTGTACCTCACTCACATGCACTACTTAAGGCTGCCACTATTTATTGAGCATTTATCTACCAGTCTGCCAGAAGTGCTTTGTTGTGTATTGCGTAGAACAGGTATTTAAAAGCAAAAACAAAAGCACTTTCATCCTGTACTGTTGTGCCAGGGGCAAGGGAAGTGGGTGTGGGGGTTGCAATGTGACTAGGGAGAGGTGGGAGATGTGAAGATTCCAGTTTGCATAGTATAACATATAAAAGTCATATGAATGGAGTAGTTAATACAAATATAGGGCCTGGGGGTACAAATAAATCTGAGAGTGAACCAATCGGGTATGGCCACGTGAAACAAATGGAATAGCTCTGGGAAGCTTGGTAGGATTGGGGTAGGTGACTGTGGAGATAGTTTTCTATGTGGAAAAAATCACAATAGATGCGGACACAGAAAAACATGAACACATTTGTGAAAGAGAAGGTTAGCCAAGGTTTTTTTTTTTTTTTTTTCCTTTCTAGAGTCCTTAAGTTGTAGAGCCAGCATTCAGCATTTACGATAGTTGAAGTGCTGACCTAAAACTATTTGCATTTTATCTTGCTGTACAGTAAAAAGTAGGAATAGCTTATAAGGTGCCTGTGCTAGAGTGGCTACACCCCCTACCAAGGAGGAGACAGATGCAGAGGTACTGGCAGAGCTCCTCTTGCTGGTTTGATGCCCAGATGTCCACATTGGACCACGTCGGAGCTGTGTGAAGGACAGGCACGCAGCCACTTGGACCATCACCTCCTGCTTCCCAGGGTGTGCGTTAATGAGGAAGTAGAATTAGGAGCCGGAGCAGAGAGTGGAACCCAGCTACTTTGATTTGGGAACTGGACACTCTGACCAGCTTTGTTAACCACCAAACCAAATGCCTGCCCTGGGAGGCTGGTTAAAAAGCAAGTCACTGACTTTCAGTCCTTGCTAAAGAACTTGTAAATTAAGTATAGTGTTAGATCTAAGTGTAATAATCTTTTAACAGGTAAAATGACTAGCGCACAAGGAGAGCAAGTGTGCCTAGCCAATCATATCACTGGAACTAAGCTTCGTTTCCTGATCCTCCCCAGGGTATTTTGCTGTTGTTGGCACCTTATTAAAATAAGGCTCTTGGGGTGTGGAGATCGCATATATCTTGTCTAAACATTGGCAAAAGTTGTGGTAGAAAAGGCAAGCTTGAAACAGATCTGAAATTCTTTTTAGCTGACAACTTGTTAAAATACAAGAACTGTTAATGGGTGAAGTATAAGGAATTATATGAAGCTCAAAGAGTTTACATTAAAAGGTCTTTTGGTGTATCTTTAGGGGCAGGGGACTTAGTTCATCACCTATAATAAGAGGCGAAAAAAAACCAAAACAAACAGGAGTAGCCTGCTTAGGATAATCAGAAAAACCGTTTTTTTTTTTTTTTTTTTTTTTATTTCTGACCTTGGAAGACTCGAGTTGTTTAAGATTTTCTGTTGAGAACTTTGTCTGGCTCCCAGCTGCTTCTGCCAGTGTTTGGTTCGTACAGAGTTTCCTGTGTATTCTCCCTAGGAAACTGAATCTCCCAGCACCCCCTCTGACAGTGGGTTTGTTTCACACCTAATTTATGGTCATTTGGAAGTCTTTCTCTGAATCTTCTCTTGTCTCATGACTTCTTTTTTTCTCCCATCCCCCCAAGGAGGCAGCCCTGTACCGTGTCTGAAATTTTCCATTTTTGTTGGGTGCTTTTTATATTTGCAAAAGGTAAGAACGAATGATATTTGTTTAGATATTGATTGGTTCATTTAAGTCATCAGATGCTGATCTTACCGACTTACACACGTCAGGCAGAAAGTTTTGCAAATCATTTTTTCAAGGATTTGAAGACCAGATTTTTTTTTAAGATACCGCCTTTTATAAGAGTTTCTGAATTTCTTTGTGGTATTCAAATCTTGTCTTATTAAATGGAAAACCCTTTAATTTTGTTCTTACACAACACCTTTTTGACACGAAGCTATTCTGCAAATGGACTCGGAAAGCACATTATTCTGTGTCTGCTTGTGGTCTTTTGAGCCATTTCTGATGAGCTTGTGTCCTAGTGGAGCGATCCTCAGAGTAGTTCGGGTTACGTTTTAAGTCTTAGATGAATAACATATCTAACTGCAATTTATGTTCTGCTCCCTTTCTGATTTAATCCAACATCTGCGCTCAGTGAAATGTGTCTCTATTATTGTTCTCTTTGTATTTCCATGTAGAAATAATCCTTAGTAACCTAACGAAGAAGCAAACTGGTTATGTTAGTTACAACTAAGTAGTTGTTCTGGGTAACACATGAAATGCTTTTTCCCAATAAAATATAAAGCAGAAAAATAATTGCAGAGCTGGAAAAGAATTTCATAAATACAAGAAATTCTCATTAGATTAGGGTGGGAAATATCTAGCTCTACTGGCCATATAAGGTTGGGAAATCATTCGGTTTGGTCCTGCCAAGGGGAACACATGTGGGATTTGAAATTCAGAAAATGTATACCAGGTTAATTTTTTTGCTTTTTAAGGTGTATTGATTATTATTTGAAAGGCAGATTTACAGAGAACATGAGACCGAGATCTTTCTATTCGCTCGTTTATTTCCCAAATGACCACAAGAGCTGGAAGTGGGCCGGTCTAGAACCAGGAGCCTCGAGCTCTTCCAGGTCTCCCAGTTGAGTTCAGGGTCTCAAAGACTTGGGCCGTTGTCTTCTAGAAGACTGATTTTCAAGTTGATGATTCTGTGTGGCCTGTGAATTATAACTATCCAAATGACCTTTGCGGGGGCGGGGGGGGTGCGGGGAGGGAAGGTCTTCTACCCCTCTACCCCTGCCTCCAATGAACGCACTCAACTTACTCACTTTAGAAATTAGGCAACTGACAGCCCAAAATTAGCCTCTCAGAATCAGAGCTAGAATTTCAAGCCAGGTTGCCCTGGCTCCTGGTTTCGTGTTGGGTGAAGAAGACCTCTGACCAGGGCGACTCAGGCCGTGGGCCTCCAGGTTTGGTTTGTCTGATTACAGTGTGTCATCTCAGAATGGCTTAGGTGACAGTCCTCCATCACTGTCCGAGCTACATGCTTGATTGAAGGTCACAGCCTGATGGGTGCTGTTACTGTTTTCTAAAACACTGACATGATTTTTGTAATAAAGGTGATGTGATTAGGAGCATGAAGTTGAGGCTTAAGAGCATACAAACCATTTTTATGGTAGCTGCAGTGTGGCTGGTATCATAAGTAATAGTGATCTTTACATTAATTGTATTGGGCAGGAATATATGACTTTAGGAATCCAGTTTACCTTCTATTGTATGTGTGTGCGTAGAAGTGAATATTTTGTACTGTATGGACTAGTACAAACAATTTTTTAAGGATAACAATTATTTATTTGAAAGATAACATTTTCTGCTGAGCCTGAACAAAGCCAGGAACCTGAAACAGTCCTGGTTTCCCCGTGGGTGGCGTGGACTCTAGTAGTTGCTGCCTCCAGCATTTACACTAGCCGGAAACTGGAGTCGGAAGGGCAGCCGGGACTGGAACTGAGAGCCCCACATGGGATGGAGACACTGCCAGCGTCGTCTTTACCACTGTGCTGCCTCGTTAAAAGAAGTTTAATGTCTTTAGTTTGGTCACACTCCATCAACTTGGGTGGCATGTTTTTGGTCACTGATTAATTCAGTGTTTGGATCTCATTAATGCAGGATATAATTTGAACTAAAGAACCTTAGCTTTTCCCTGTCTGCCAGTGCAGGCTTAGGATGCACTAGGATCTTTTCTAACAGAATGGCTAACTTGGTCTTACTCAGTGTACACTTTCATAGCCACCTTTTTCATGACTTTTTCTGCAGCATATGGGATACCAAGTTGTCTCATTCCTGAGAAATAAGCCAACTCTACCAGCTGTCTTTGTTGACTTCTAATGGCAATTGCACACTAGGATCATGTCTGGGCTTGGCACATGTAGGATATTGTAACCAGACCACTTCCTGCTTTATATAAAACCTCAACTCCAGCGCTAGAGGTTAAGCAAGTTTCTTTTTACCTGCCATTTTTGCTAATTGAAAGATAAAATGTTCCACAAGGTGTAGTTAATTTACAAGGTCGGGATTAGGAAAGCATGTTGTATTGGGATAGTCCTGGAATTTAAATCAGATTCTGGTCTTTAGGGGCAGTTGAGCTTTTTTGTTAGACATAGCAATGCTGTTGTTTTTGCCTTCTGTAGCAAATACACACTAGTGGCAAGTTTAGACTTGTCAGTGCGGTGGATTTTATAGGTGGAAACCATTAGATGCGGCTTCCTGTTCGACCTATGCAGAACTGAGTATAACTCTACATGAGATGCAGCCAAGTTAGTTTACAAAAATGAAGAATTTAATGTGTTAATTATAATTTGCTTTATTGGCAAAAAAAAAATTCATTTAAATTGACTTCTTGAATGTTTCCATCACACAAAGAAAAATTGCTTAGGCTGTTCTATTGAGGTAAGTAGCAACTTTCTTTGGAGGAAATGAGAGGATGAAAAATTGAATACACGGCTGGTGTATGTGTATATCTGTATGCAGTGGGGTAGGTACTACATGTGAAAATGCTGAAGCTTAGAAATAATTCTTAAGATGTATTTTAGCTATCTAAATTGAATTCATCTGAATGTAGAATCAATATGAAAAATACATATGTGTGGTTTAGGCCAAAAAAAGAGTAGGATTGAAGTTACAGATAACTAGAATTGTATCTTAATTTCTAGGAATAAAATTATTTACCTGCATTTAACTACTCCCAGTGTTAGGCTTCAGCAGGCACTGCAGAAGCCACAGGTTTCTGTTGGTTTAGATCCGGGTTTATTACCAAGCATTCGCTGGCATTTATCCTTGATGTGAGTCTAAAATTTAAATCTTTAATTTGCTCTTGTTGCATTAATTTGTGTTTATATTATTGTGTAGGAAAGTATTTAAAATGTTACTTTTAGGAATCTGATGAAAGGTTTTGTTCTTTTTCATGTAGTCACATAAGAAAACAGTTCTCTCCTGTTTATGCAAACTTTCATGACAAAAATTCTTGAAATACGTATAAGCTTACAGCTTCAGATAATTCTTTAAGTTTTTGGTGTTCAGAATTTTTAGAGAACTGGCTGAGGACAAGTTTTATTCAACTAATAGACATTTAACGATGCAAATTGAATGAATTGCATTTTTAGTAATTGTTTAGTTTTCGTTAACCTCTTAGAAACTTAATAAAAAAGCAATCATTTCAAACTGTCAGGTTACCAACTTTATATAGTGTATATTTCATTATAGTTTTAAGGAGAAATATATTTTCTGAAATTAATGGAGTATTACTTTAACCTTGTATTTAACTGTTCATCATTTTTCCTATAGGTAATTTCCCCAGGATTAGTGATGATCTGGTGAATTCTTACCATCTTCTGCTGTGTGCTTTGGACTTAGTTTATGGGAATGCTCTTCAATGTTCCCATCGTAAAGAACTTGTGAACCCAAATTTTAGATGTAAGTTTCTAAATCACAGAATAGTTGGACAACCCACTTTTCTACATTGTTTACTGTCGAGAGTGGTGTATGGGGTGCAGGTTTTCTAGCATAAGAGAACATGCCATATTTTTAGAATATTTATTTAATGGGCCTAACTTGATGGTCTAGAGGCCAAATCCTCACCTTGAACATGTCAGAATCCCATGTGGGTGCCAGTTCGTGTCCCCGCTGTTCCATTTGCCCTTCAGCTCCCTGCCTGTAGCCTGAGAAAGCAGTAGGGGATGGCCCAAAGCCTTGGGACGCAGCACCCTCATGGGAGACCTGGAAGAACCTCCTGGCTTTGGGTTGGCTCAGCTTCAGCTGTTGCAGCCACTTAGGGAATGAACCGGCACGTGAAGATCTTTCTCTGTCCCTCTCTGCAAATACACTCTTCCAATAAAAATAAATAAATCTGTAAAAAGAAAAGTAGTTGTTTGAAAGGCAGGCAAAGGGGAAGTATCTTCCATCTGCTGGTTTGCTCCCCCAATGCCTGCAGTAGCCAGGGCTGGGCCAGGCTGAAGGCAGGAGCCAGGAGCTTCATCCCACCTGTGGGTGGAAAAGCCCAGGTTACCTGGACCATCTTGTGCTGCTTTTCCCAGGCTCGTTAGCAGGGAGCTGGATGGGAAGCAGTGCAGCCAGGACCAAAACTGCTCATTTGTGCTGGTGGCATTACAGGTGGTTTAACTCAACTTTGCTACAACACCAGTCCCACAAAAATATTTTTCAGAAAAGCAGCTGAAGATGCAAGCGTCTTAAGTCTTACGATAAATTAGTAGTTTCTGAAATTTATGAGAGTACTTCAAATTGTTCACAGAAAATAAGATTCTTGAGGTGCGCTCCTGTCCTTAGCAAGGAAAAGGCATTTAGAAACAGCAATGAAGGTGTCTTGGAAGATAACAGGTTTCTTTTTTCTCTATATTGGCAAGCTTTGTGCCTGACACACTGAAGGAGGCCCATGGGAAGTTAACAGAATTCATCTGTTTGCTCTTGATTTAGTGAATTAATATTCCTCGTATCTTTTCTGTTTATTTTCCCACTTCCTTCCTAACTCCTTTTTATGTTTTAAATGGTTGTCTGCTTTCATTTTTTTTCCTCTTGTGCTGACAAGAGTAAATTAAGCTAATCTCATGCATACATCTAATATAATTAAAACAGAATATGTGATGTTTGAGCCGGAGCATTATCAGGGTGCTGGACTGGAAGAGGAGCAGCTGGGACTTTGAAATGACTCCCTGCTGTGGGATGTGGGCATCCGAAGTGCTGGCCTAACCTGCCATGTCCCAGTGCACAGCCCCTTAATTTCTGTTTTTTTATTATTATTATTTAAATAATCATGGGTTATTTATACTGTTTCTGTAAACTCATGCTAGCTGGTGCTAATTAATATTGTATTTCATTTTGTTACAGTTTTAGTTTATTAACTGGTACCTTGGTTTTGCGGGTCTCTGTGTTACAGGCCTATCCGAAGATTTTCATACTAAGGATTCTAAGCCTTCCTCTGACCCCCCTTGTGTCATTGAGAAACTCTGTTCCTTACACGATGGCCTGGTTTTGGAAGCAAAGGGAATAAAGGAACATTTCTGGAAGCCTTATATTAGGAAACTTTATGAAAAAAAGGTTTGTAAATAGCAAAGAAATAACATGAAAATGTTTACAGGACTTGATGAAATACCGTAACATAAGTCTGTCTGCTTTCACCGTAGTTACTTAAGGGAAAAGAAGAAAATCTTACCGGTTTTCTAGAGCCTGGGAATTTTGGAGAGAGCTTGTGAGTACATCTGCTACAAAATTATTATTATTTTTTTAACATTCTAAGTGTTGCCCTTAGTGAACCTTGGAACTTTAGTGTTCTTATTTAAAAGGTCTTAATCGTATTGGCATTTGAAAGGCAGAGAGAGGTCTCCTGTGTGTGAGTTCCCTCCCCAGATGCCTGCCAGGAGCCCAGGACCCCGTCTCTGTAGAGCAGGGACTACAGTCCCTGAGCGCTCTGCTGCCTTCCAGGCTGTGTGTCAGCTGGAATCTGGAATTAGAAGCTGAGCTGGTCCTCGAACCCAGGCACTCTGCTCGAGGGTATGTGTGTCCTGAGCAGCATGTTAATTAATTGGTTCATGAAGTGCACATACCTCTTAAGTGCGTATTTTAAACTTTTTTTGAAAATTCTGTGATTGCATTTTTAGATTAAGATTTTATTAAGGTTTTGAGTTGTACATTTGTGAACAAAGACATGATGATGTAGCAATAATGAAGTCTTTGGAGGTACCTAGAATAGCTAGGAAAGAGTTAGGCTTCTCACCTCATCAGGAGCTGCGCCTACCAGGCAGTTACTTACCTGGAAGCACCGTGAGCAAAATACCCTTGGTGCTGTGATGGGTAAATATAGTGTGACAATTTTATGTATTGCACTCTTCAGTTTTAATAATTCACAGTTGCTCCACTAAAATTTAACTTTTAAAAAAAAATTCTTAGAAATTTTAATGGGGAAAAAAAAATGAGTAAGTAGCCTGGAGCATAGGCTGAAGTGATAGCTCTGTGAAGGAGTCCATGGTGTGCGTGTGTGTGTTTTCTTCCAGTAAAGCCATCAGTAAGGCCTATGAGGAGCAGGTGTTATCCGCTGGGAATCTGGATGAACGAGTGTTTCTGGGAGAAGATGCTGACGAGGAGATCGGCACTCTCTGCAGGTGTCTGAACACGGCTTCGGGCACAGAGACTGCAGAGAGGGTGCAGATGAAGAGCATCCTGCAGCAACATTTTGACAAGGTGAGCTGAGCCGAGCCACGAGCAGAGCAGCGGGAGGGTCCGGTTTACTTTGGTAACTCCTGCTGGGTGTTTTACTTGCCTCCACCTGGAAAAATTTCTATCATACTTCTCTTAGTTGGCAAACAATCTTCGCATTTGTGGATTTACTTTTTGCTAATATCAGTTTTCAGAGGTTTTAATTAGGTTCAAGAAAAAGAGAACTTAAATAAATAATATAATATTAAATAAATAAATAAATTTAAACAGATGTAATGATAAGCCAACACCGTGCAGCCTTACACATAATAAACACAGAAGCCATTTGGAAAATGTTAACCACCCCGGATTAGGACTTCAGTGAAGGGACTAGACAAACAGAATCTACAGTCTTCAAGAAAATTCTGTCAAGCTGGGCTACAGGATCATGTCATGTTATTTCCGATAGACGCTTAGGCTAATGGAGACTTTGGAATGGGGCTTCAGACAGGCACCTCCAGAGGCAGTGTAGGCAATTCAAGGGGCAACTCTCCTCCGCCTGGGGGTGAGCTGCTTCAGTGTGGAGACTGGTCCGCTTATTCACTCAGTAAATATTCCACAGCTAGTTAGTAAGCTGGATTGTGTCCTGGACACTGGGAACATGCCAGTGAACCAGATAGTGAGCAACACTGTGTGCTTATAGGCTAGTGGTTGGGGGAGAGGGACGTTAGATCGCTGAAGAGGTAATAGAGTATGTGAGATGATGGTATGAAGGAAGAGAGTAGCAATACAGAACATTTGGGGGAGGGAGAGAGCAGGTGGGTGAGCTTGGGGCTGTTAGAGAGAAGGTGTTGGGAACGTGTCTCCTGGGGAAACACACCTGAAGTCGAGAGATGAACAAGTGCAAACCCATATCACAGAAATGGGATTTCAGGGACAGTGAGAACACTGGGGTGATGGGGATGGAGGAGCGAGGCAAGAGTGGCAACAAATGAGGTGGAAGTAGGATCCTTAGATCAACAGGATCCCTAATCGCAGAGAACATTCCACAGGCGTGTGGTCTGTGGCCCTGGAACTCATGTTGCAAGGATAGGCCATCTTCATTGCTCACCCCTGTGCCACTTGAAAAACAAACCCTGGTAAACATGGACGACAAGGCAGCTGGCTCCCCTAGTCCAACAGAGGACCTTGAGTGCCCCTTCAAAGGACAGAAAGAGAAGCAAGTTGAGTAATTTGTCAGGCCAAGTTTCACAGTAAGCACCTAAGTCTGTGGACATTCTGATGTAAATATGGACAGCCGACAGGACTTAGAACTTATACAGAGAGAACAAGAGGCGCCCGTGTGAGGACAGATGGATGTCATCACCTCTTGTACAACAAAGCCAGCCACCTTGCAGAATAATCAGAATAATATGGGGGACTCAGCCATGCCCACTGAAGGGACAGTGTCTGGCCGATAGTAGGGATCCAGTAAGTGAAGGTCAGAATCGGGACAACTGGACTGCAGGCTTAGGGTGACAGCTGAAGTCACACCTCCCCAGCTGTGTGTCTGTCTCCCACAGCTAACATGCAGGTAGTACCCTCTGGGACGTTCTTTGCAGCACTGAGGTCTCTGAGGCGGCAGCAGAGTACCCACTGCTTCCCCTGGCATTCCTGTGGTCTCCTTCCAAGGATGCAGGAGTGAAGAGAGAGACTTCCCTTCACCCCCCTTCCCCTGCTCCATCCAGGTCAATGACACACAGGGGTCTGAGGTCCCTTCATCTTTGTAATGAACATTGAAAAGTTTAAAGATCAAGATTTCTTTTGAGGCTAAGAGGGAGCAAGAGAGCTGGACTTTTGCTTTTGCTGTGATTGAGGTGAAAATCATCGAGGACCTATGGAGTATAGTGACCTCAGAGTGATCTGATTTATATCTGGCAGATCTTTAAAGGGCAGGTAGTTCATGAAAGTTTGATTCAGAAATATAGTTGTGTCTGAGCTGTATTTTGGAGATAACACAGGATCTGGGGTACGAGAGAAAGAGAAAACAGTCGGCCCTGTGGGTGAACAGTAGAAACTCTAAAATCCTTAGGTGGTGTGCTGCCACTCTGAGTTAACCCCTGCTGCCCTCATGCTCCCCCGTTCTGCTCCTGTAACTTCCCTTCAAGTCTTCAGTTACACCAAGCACACTGCCAGCTCAAAGCTCTTGCCCTGCTCTTCCTTGTGCCTAGAACATGTTCTTCAAGACACTCAGGTGGCACGCTCTGTGTCTTTGCTTCCTGCTGGTCTCGAGTATCCTGAGTGCTATATAAAACACTAACCACCAGCTTCCTCCACAACCCGCAGGACTTTCTTCCCTTAGTTGGCACTTAGTTCTTATCACTGTTTGCAAGTTAGTAAGTAGGCAGCAAAGATTATTTTCTTTCTGCATTAGAGTTTAAACTTAATGACTAGTGCTTATGCAGCGCTTGGCACATAGTAGGCGTTTCAAGGATGTTACAGTTGACATTGAAAGGCAACAGCAAGTCTGGGGGCTTTCTTTAGGTACGAGGTGTCTTTTAGGCATTCAGGTGGAGGCATTGAGTAGCACCATAGAAGTTCAAGTTGTAGTCACAATGAGGTGTTATTGAGTCATTAGGATATATGTGCATTTTTTTTCTCTTAAGAATTATTTTGAGAGGCAGATTCTTAGGAGAGACAAGAAGAGATCTTCCATTTGCTGGTTCACTCCCAGAATGCCCACAGCAGCCAGAGCTGAGCCAAATCAAAGGCAGGAGTCTGGAGCATCTTCTGGGTCTCCCGTGTAGGTGCAGGGACTCAAAGACCTGTCATCTTGCGCTGCTTTCCCAGGCACATTAACAGGGAGCTGAATCAGAAGTGGATCAGCCAGGACAGGAACTGGTGCCCACATGGAATGCCGGTACTGCAGGCCCAAGTTTAGCCTACTATGCCGGGGTCTTGGTCCCGCAGATGGCTGAGAAACTGTGGAATGGAGAAAGATGAACCAGCTGTGTGTGTTGATAGGGAGTAAAAGAAACCTAAGCACAGAGCTTGGAGACTCTGAATTTTATGTCTTCACTTGCAGAACGATTATCCTAAATTTACATGTTTATGCCCAAGTTAAAGCAAGAGTCCTCTTGATCAGAACATTAGTCTGAGTATTCACACAGTACTAACAGAGACCCCACGGTGCCCTCGAGGAGTCTAGGTAGGAAGCTGTTTGGTTGATGGACCTAGCATCCTTTGTGAAAGCACTGTTACCTGTGGCTCTGTGCTGATTGTCCTGTGTGTGCCCAGTGTGCCTTCCCTTGTCAGTGCGCCGTGGTTTATGTCCTGTGACTAAGCTGGGTGCTGGCTGTCGGAGAGCAGCCTTCTGAACGCAGCTCATCTGCCTAGATCATTTTATTGCCTTAACACTTTGTACAGTGCATTTCCTCGAAATGTGGAGAAAGTGTGTTGGTGTTTCTGAATGGCGAGTCTCTGAGCTTTTCCTGTATCTCGTGAAACTTGGATAGTTCTGTCACCAGATGAAAATTTGGGGTGAAAATTTTGCAAGGTATTTTTAAAGCTCTCTAGCGTATGTTTGCTTACTACATAGGAAAAGGTGATTTATCTTGGATGTTAAAGGACACTGTTAAGTTCTTACTAGTACTTATGCACTTTTAGGGTTTATTTGAAAAATAAGGAAAGCTGTTTTGTTAGCAGATGAATTCATGCTTAAATTCATTGGCACTCAGTCATTCACAACTCCTTTATTTTCATATTCAAGAATGTTGATTTTAACTTTCTCTGAAGATCTGTCTGCAGAAATAAACCTGATTCATTCTGGTAACTAAAGGTGGGAAGAGCTCGGAATGCTGAGGACTGGTCTGCACCTCACTGCTGGGAGGGTGTTTGTGGTACTCTCTCGCAACAATTTTGATTTAGGTCTTTCGTTAAATTACGGATTTTACTTGGGCCAGGATTAATTACAAGTTATTTTTGTTCGTTTGTTTATTTGGAATGCCGAGTTAGGGCGAGCCGGCTGATTCAGTCTCCCTTAGGGTGAGCCACGTGGGTTACGGAGGGCCCAGGTAGTTGGTCTTCCACTGCTTTCCCAGGCACATGCGCGGGAGTTGGGTCAGAAATGGAGCAGCCAGGAATTGATCTGCTCTCATAAAAGGTGCCTGCGTTGCAGGCTGCAGCTTAGCTTGCAGTGCCACACTGCTGCCCCAGCATGAACGCACAGCTTTATTTTGTCAATCTCTGAGTGCTGTAAATTAGTGATAGATGGCAGCTGTGAAATTCTGCTTCTCAGAGATGAGAATGACATTAATTTTTTTAATACATAATGCTTATATATCTTCGCTTTTGCGCTTAAGCTGTGAGGGATGGATAATGACAAGTTGTAACTTAAAGGTTTAACCTTTGAGTGACTTTGAGCTGGCTAAAATACATTTTATGGATTTGATGGCTCCTCATGGCGTTTGAACTTCTGGGAATAGTAATGCTGGAGTTGCTAAAATTAATTGGCATTGTAAGGATGAAGTCCTATGGCTTATTCCCATTGGTGAACTGTTGAGATCTTTCTGACTGGAAAACAATGTTTGTTTTCTTTTTTAATTCTTCTCCTTTAGTCTAGAGCACTTAGGATCTCCACTCCACTTACTGGTGTGAGATACATGAAGGAGAACAGCCCTTGCGTGACCCCCGTTTCCACAGCCACACACAGCTTGAGCCGTCTTCACACGATGCTTACAGGCCTCAGGAATGCACCAAGTGAGAAATTAGAACAGATTCTGAGGTAAGTTGGAGCCCTATAAACCTTCCAAAACTTGATTGTTTAGAAGGATTTTCCGGTGTCGCATTTTTAATTTTTTGCTACTAGCATACCTTATTTCACCTAACGATCATTTTATGTCATTTGCATGCTTAGTCCTGTTGCTGACCAGTATAGGACATTAGCAGTGTTGACTATATCAGTAGACCGAGAACATCTTTGTTTAACATTCTGTAATGTAGTATAAATGATAGTAGCTAACAATACTGCACAGATGGAATAGCGCATCCGGATGTCTTCTTCCCAGATGTTCTGTCCTGAGTTTTCAGAGAGGCTGGGATGGGAGTAGGAAGTGGCCGTGAAGATGGGAGTTATCAGTTAACTTCAGAGTCCTGAAGGGAGGATGAGATGTGAAGCAAGGCCAGAACTGTAGCTTTGGTGAGCTCTGCAGACAAGGCTGGCTGCGGTCCTTTGATCTGCCTGAGACTGATCGAAAAAGCAGTGAGCTTTACTGAAAAAACACGGTCGACTGAGTCTGTCATGCATAAGCTCTGGCAAGTTGAAATGAAAAAATTGCCTCTAAGGCCCCTTCTTTAGTCCTACAACATTATGATTTGTTAATATATGTCTTATTCGGTGCCATTTTGTTCCTGGTTGGTTGGAATTAAGAAGACGCTATTTACTTACGTAATTTCCCCTTCATGGCTACACTCACTCACTAGCCAAGGCTGCGTTTCCCTTTATTCTGAAATTCAACTGTGGTTCAAGCTCAACAAGCTCTAAGTCGTGCTTTTCGTGGGGTCACCTTTGCCTTGATTTAGAATATTTTATAAGTATATATGTATTTTTTTTCTGAAAGATACATTCTTAAAAGAGTTTCTTATTTTTAAATTCTTATGATGCAATTCCATAGGCTCTGGAATTTTTCTTACCACCTCACCCCTACTTATTTCCCTCACATTTTTACAATAGTATAGTCCTTTATAAACAGTCACTAGTCCATCATTCTATCTCTATATACCTTTCAGCTCTTTACCATTTCTGATCATAACAAATTCTTTGATTACAAGTATCATTAGCAGGACCAAATATTGCTCGTAGATACCTAGGTAAAACCAAAGGGTTCAATTTTAAGACTTGTTTTTATTTATTTGAATGGCAGAGTTAAGACAGAGACAGACAATGAACTTCTTTCTGCTGGTGCACTCCCAAAGGACCACAATGGCTGGGCTAGACCAGGCTAGACTGGAACCAGGAACCAGGAGTTTCTGCTAAGTCTCCCACCTTGGTGCAGGGGCCTAAGACATTGAGCCACCTGTTGCTGCTTTCCCAGGTGCATTAGCAGGGAGCTAGATCAGAAGTGAAGCAGCTGGAACTTAAACTACTACCCATATGGGATGCCAGTGCTACAGGCATACATGGTGTGCCACAATGCTGGTCCCAACGACTCAGTGCCCATATGGGCTGATGTCATTGCTGGCAGCAGCTTAATTCTATGTCACAACACCGGCCCCTAACGTGGTGTCTTGATCACTAGGCAGACGCCTCAACTTTTTCCCACATTTTTTTTTTATCTATGTGTGTATATGTGCATAGTAGGTACCGAGTGTGATGGGTTCAGAGAGAGCCCTTGTATCTACTACTTCACTCCCTAGCTGTCTACAAAGAGCTGGGATTCAGCCCGGCTGCAGTCAGATGGCGAGGACTCGGCCCAGGATTCTCACCTGGTGGCAGGAGCCCAAGCCCTAGAGCCGTCACATGCTGCCTCCCAAGGCATGCATTTGTAGGAAACTGGAATCGGAGTGAAGTTGAGACTCCAGTCCAGCCACTCTGTATGGCGTGTGGTGTTCCAGTTTGTGCTTTAACTTGTTCACCACATGTCTGCACCCCCTCACTACTCCAGCATGAGTTCTTATTGGCAATACTGCAGTTGAGTACCATTTTGATCGTCATCAGTGAGTGGCGTTGTGCAAAGCAGAGGGGAACCAGTCATAGACATCAAATGGTGCTGGCAAGCATTGTTCAGCCGACTGCGGTAAAAGACGCAGCTCCGCACAAAAAATGTGCTTTCAGTCAGAATGGCAGAAGTACATCTCTGATAGGCTATATAGCATCTCCTGGATTAATTTGGGAAGTGCACAAGGATAGCTTTTGTTCAGAGTGCTTTATATTTACATGATAATTAGACTAAAAAGTTGTGAGCTTTATATCCCTTAGTAGCTTGCTAAGACTTTTAAAGTATATAATTTTTATCTGACTTTAGGACATGTGCCAGAGATCCAACCCAGGCTATTGCTAACAGGTTGAAAGAAATGTATGAAATATATTCTCAACATTCTCAGCCAGATGAGGACTTCAATAATTGTGCTAAAGGTAAGGTGTTTAGTATGGCCTAGGAGGAATTCTCAAAAAGGTCATAAAAATGAGTATATTAAAAACTTGCACACAGATTTCACATTTTTTCTCACAACATCACACCCTGGGTTAGGTATTTGGTGTGGCTGTAAGTTGCTGCTTGGGACACCTGCATCCCGTGGTGTCTGGACAGGAGGCCCAGCTCTGCCTTGGTTTCCAGCTGTCTGCTTGTGTACCTTGAGAGGCAGTGGTGATAGCTCAGGTGGGTCCCTGCCACCACGAGGGAGACTTGCACTGAGCTCTCTTCCGTGACTCTGGCCTTGCTCAGCCCTAGCTGTCACAGGCGTGTAGGAAGTGAAGCAGTGCGTGGCAGATCAAGTCTGCATCTCAAGCAAGTAAGTTTGTAATTTTTTCTTTTAATTGCTTTTTCCAATTTTTTTTTTAAAGATTTATTTTTATTATTATTATTTTTTTATTGGAAAGGCAGATATACACAGAGGAGAGACAGAGAGGAAGATCTTCTGTCCGATGATTCACTCCCCAAGTGAGCTGCAACGGCCGATGCTATGCCGATCCGAAGCCAGGAGCCTCTTCCGGGTCTTCCACGCGGGTGCAGGGTCCCAAAGCCTTTGGGCCGTCCTCTGCTGCTTTCCCGGGCCACAAGCAGGGAGCTGGAAGGGAAGTGGGGCTGCCAGGATAGAACCGGCGCCCATATGGGATCCCGGGCGTGCTAGGTGAGGACCTTAACCACTTGCGCCACCGCGCCGGGCCCCTTTTTTCCAATTTTTTGAAGTACCATTGTGCTTTCCAAATATCATTGGCAGTGCTACAGAGGGAGGATTAGTTTGCTGTGCCACCGAGCGAGCCCCACTTCTCTGACCTTTTTAAAACTTTCTTATTTTGCTTTCATGTGAAAGAAAGATAGGGACAGAGAGCGAGAGATCATTCATCTGCTGGTTCATTGCCCTCAATGTCTGTCTGATACATTTCTTTTACATAGATTCTTCACATGTGTGTTTTAAGTACACATGTCTTTGTTCATGCATCCTGGCTCAGCTTGTGGCGGAGACCCAAGTGTTTGAGCCATCATCTCTTGCCTGTCAGGGTGGACGTTAACAGGAAGCTGGATTGCAAGTGCAGTGGCGGGGACCACGCACTTCAGTGTGGATGTGGGCTTCCTAAATGGTAAATCACCTGCTGTGCCAAGCAGCCACCCCTGTTCTGTCTGGAGTCCTTTCTGAGCAACCAAGTCAGAAATACGAGGAACAGATTGACTTTGGCCTAACGATGGAGTATGACTATATAATTTGTCTTTTTTCACATGATTTGTGGGACCTTCTCAGGAAGAGAGATTTTAGTATGATATGTTTATTATGTTATGCCTAAGGTACTTTTTAGTTTATAGCTTATTTACTTTGTAAACTACAAACTAAAAGTGTACTAGATCTTCAGTATATTCATAAAAATCCCAGAAAATAATAGCTGTTAAAAGACCAAACCTGGCTGGGAGTTTTTTCCTGTCATGAATTAGAACCAAGTACAGTTGTCCTGTGGCATCCACAGGAAGTTAGTTCCAGGATGCTGTCCCTGTCCCCAGGATCCCAGAGTCCACAGATGCTCAAATCCCTTATAAAACTGGCATTATATTTGCATATAACTTACACACATCCTCCTTGAAATTATCTCTAGATCACCTGTAATTATTAATGTTATGTAAGTGCTTTGTAAATGTATTCTGTAGGTTAGGGAGTTTGACAAAAAAGCGTGCGTATGTTTGGTACAGAATCAACTCTCTTAGCCATAACTATGCAGTACACGTCAGCAGGAAAACGTTTTCATTCTGGAGTTGGTTGAATCTGTATGTGTAGCCGGCTGTTTGGAATATTGCCACTTACATACCTCATAATATAGGGCTGTTTTGTTCCAATATAAGGCCTGATGCTTAATGGAATGCTATTATAGTTCATTATATGCAATTTTCATTTTACAATTTTAGAAAAAAATGAATGTTACCATGACGAAAACGACATTCTTATGAATAACTGAAATACTAGCTGTACAAAGTGTAGCGCTCTGAAGCGTGGGTTGATTTGTCAATTTTCTTTGGTCGGTGGAGAGGGAGGTACGGGCCTCTGCTTCTCTTGTTTCTTAGTATCTGATTTTAGTGGTTTTGTTTGGTTATTTTTGCAGAAATGGCCAGCAAACATTTTCGTTTTGCAGAGATGCTTTACTATAAAGTGTTAGAATCTGTTATTGAGCAAGAACAAAAAAGACTGGGAGACATGGATTTATCTGTGAGTAAAACAGCAAAACAGCTTCCTTCCGGCCCAATCCACCAAAAAAAAAAAAAAAGCCATTACCTGGTGACCTGTATGTCTACTACTCTTTTGATTTTTATGAATTCATCTGTTGTACCTCTCTTGTGTAAGTGGACACATGCAAAAGGGGCCAGCATATTAACCTTCCATTTGTGACCACGTTTTTCTTTACTCATCTGAGGGGAGGCATTTGGAGTGCTCTCGCGTTTGCTGCTGCAGCCAGTGCTGTTATCAACGCTGCCTTCGGCCTTGCTGGCTTCTCTGTTGCTGTCCCTGGAAGCGGAGTGTTGGGACCTGCACTGACTTTGGGTTGAACTTTTTGAAGATCTGCTGTGTGTGTTCTGTGCAAATCTGCCCTTTCACCTGAACACCAGCTGTGTGTACAGGTTTTGGTTATTCTGCATCCTAAAAATATTTGGTGTTTTCTGTTTTTCTGATAACATCCATCATAGTGAAGTGGCTAGTGGTGCTTTTGATTCACATTTTCCTAATAAGTAGAGATGCTGAAATCAGTTTTCACGTATTGCTGATCCTTTGTACATATTCTTTGGAGAAATGTCCACTTTAGTCCTTTTCCTATGTTTGAATTGATCAGTTGGCTTTTTTTTTTTTTGCCATGTTGTAGGAATTTTTGTAAATCTTTGCTATTAATCCTTTATTAAATATGATTTGCAAATTCTTCTCATTCTAGAGTTTTCATTCTGTTGGTAGTCTACTTTTATGCCAGAAAGTTTCTAATTTGAGTGAAATCCAGTTTAATCCATTTGTTGCTGCTGCTGCTGCTGCTGCTGCTTATGCTTGTAGTGCCTAATAACTTCAATTAAAAAATAATAAGTGTTTATATACAGTTTTGGAAAATGAGTAAGCAAAAAGAAAATAAGAATCGTCTGATTACAGTACTCTGATGGACACCCCGGCGCTGGTACTTGGTCATATGTGGCTAATATGCTTTCCTGATGCCTTCTGGTTACCTATAAGATGGTACCTCTTACTGTAAACACTGATTTGTACCATCTTTCCACATCACTATCTCCCGAACCTGAAGGAGGAGTGTCTTTGAAGTTTGGTTAGGGAGTATTTCGTGGTATGTAAAATATTTACATACTCAAAAAGACATACTCAAAAAGAGTATGTAAAATATTTTACATACCACGAAATACTTTTTATATATTCCCTTAATTGATTTTTTGTTTTTCCTAACATGGATTTACTGTTATAAAGTTAAGAAAATTTTGTAAGGGAATAAGCACGTACACTTGATTCAGAATATAAGACTGATATTTTTATTTAACTTGACTACATATCAAATATATTTTTAGAGTGGTCTGATGTTTCTAAGTGTTGCTAACTTTGTTTTGTAGGGTATTCTGGAGCAAGATGCATTCCACAGATCACTCTTGGCCTGTTGCCTTGAGGTTGTCATTTTTTCTTACAAGCCTCCTGGAAATTTCCCATTTGTTACTGAAATATTTGATGTGCCACTTTATCACTTTTATAAGGTATATTTTAAAATACAATACTTGACGGGGACAGATGTGTAGCAGAAATAGTTCTAATGTTTTGTAGCACAGTTAGATAGCTGATTGACAATGGAAGAATGTTTCAGAATAAGCTCTAGGGAGGATTTTGGATGTTCCCAGCACAAAGAAAGTGATAAATAGGAGGCAGCTAGGCCAGGTCTCCCCTGACCAGTCCACATTGGGTATGTTTATTGATATGTCACATCATACTTCATAAATATGTACAATTTCTATGTAGCAATTTTTAAAACACATGCTTGAAAGGAAGTTTGTATCATCAATTTCCTTGTTTATTGTCTAGTTTGTGAGGATTTTTTTTTTTTTCATTTTATGACAGCTTCATAGGCTCTGGGATTCCTCCTACCCCTTCCCAAACCCTCTCCCGAGATTGAATTCCTCCATATTGTTACAGTAGTACAGATCATATCCAGTCATGATTCCTTCATTGCGGGCATGGACCCTGCAGAGTCCAGCATCTCACTGTCCAGACATATTCAACAGTTTCATTGGGAGACCATCCACGGTCCGAAAGTAGAGCTGGCAGAATATCAGCCCCTCCAATGAAAAACCACTACACAACTTCAACAACGATTTACACCATCATGAACTTAATTGACATGCTACTGAGTGACCAATGTGTTAGAAAATGCAAGTTCTTAACCACAGGGGATGTTTATTCTTTTAGTTACTTATGTAATATTTTTTACTCTGTTCAAGGAGCAGAGAGGAAATAACACTCTTTTTTTGTTTTGTTTTTAAAAATTTATTTATTTTTATTACAAAGTCAGATATACAGAGAGAAGGAGAGATAGAGAGGAAGATCTTCCATCCAATGATTCACTCCACAAATTACTGCAATGGTCAGTGCTGTGCCAATCCGGAGCCAGGAACCAGGAACTTCCTTCAGGTCTCCCACACAGATGCAGGGTCCCAAAGCATTGGGCCATCCTTGACTGCTTTCCCAGGCCACAAGCAGGGAGCTGGATGGAAACTGGAGCTGCCGGGATTAGAACTAGCGCCCATATGGGATCCTGGCACATTCAAGGCGAGGACTTCAGCCACTAGGCCATGCTGCCGGGCCTGAAGAAATAACACTCTTAAGACAATATATAAATTCTTTTAAAGATACAGTAGGATGTTAGCTATATTTTGAGTAAAAAGCTGCATTTGATTGGTCGCCTTATCTGATAAAGGATTTTAGAATACTTTATTTTTATAATAAGAAAATCTAAATCGGGCCTGGCGTGATAGTGTAGCAGCTAAAGTCCTCGCCTTGAATATGCCGGGATTCCATGTGGGCACCAATTCTAATCCCAGTAATCCCACTTCCCACCCAGCTCCCTGCCTGTGGCCTGGAAAAGCAGTTGAGGATGGTCTAATGCCTTGGGACCCTGCACCCATGTGGGAGACCCGGAGGAAGCTCTGGGCTCCTGGCTTCGGATTGGCTCAGCTCCAGCTGTTGCGGCCACTTGGGGAGTGAACCATTGGACAGAAGATCTTTCTCCTCCTCCGCCTCTCTGTATGTATCTGCCTTTCCGATAAAAATAAATAAATCTTAAAAAAAAAAAAAAGAAAACCTAAACCAGTTTAACACATGTCATTAGCTAATCTTCTATAGCAGGCTTCTCATTTTTTATAAATTTAAATTGCTTCTTTTTAAAAAAAAAGAAAAAGATTTATTTTTATTTGAAAGTCAGATATGCAGAGAGGACGAAAGACAGAAAGATCTTCCATCCAATTATTCACTCCTGAAGTGGGCGCAAAGCCAGAAGCCAAGAGCCTCTTCTGGGTCTTCCAGGCGGGTACACGGTCCCAAGGTTCCAGATCATTCTTGACTGCTTCCCCAGGTCAAAGCAGGGAGCTGGATGGGAAGTGGGGCTACCGGGATTAGAGCCAGTGCCTGAAAGATGCAAGACGAGGACTTTAGCCACTAGGCTACAATACCAGGCCCAAGTGCTTCTTTTTTTCAACTATTATTTATTTGAAAGAGTTAGAGAAATCTTCCATCTACTGGTTCATTCAATTGGTTGCAACAGTGAGAGCTGGCCAGTCAGAAGTGAGGTGCCCGGAACTTCTTTCACGTCTCACGTGGTGGAAAAGTCGCAAGGACTCCAGCCATCTTTCACTGCTTCGCAGGTGCATTTAGCAGAGACATGGGAGAGCTGGATCAGAAGTGGAGCTGCCGGAACTCAAATGGGCTGTTGGCTCAACAGGCAGCACCTTTACCCACTAGCCATAGCACTGGCCCCAGCAACCTAACCATTTTATGAAAATGTGACAGGCAGTGTCAGAAAGAAAAATGGGGTGATGGACCGTCTGACATTGTACCAGTGTTGGGGCACAATTAAATACCAGACTGATGGAATTGTAACTCCTTATGAAGAGTGTGGCATTATGGGAAAAAGCAGTCGGGGTGGAAAATGGGGGAGGGGAATCCCAGAGTATACAGAATTGTATGATACATTTCAAAAATAAAATTTTTTAAAAAGAGTTCTCTTTCATAGTTTATATAGGTACAGAGTTACAGCATTTATTTTTACAGCAGTTTTCTTCTTGATATCCATTTAATATATTTGATTCATGGTGCTTCTCATATGGTCAGATCTAACTCATCCTGTCATTAGATTGAATCTTAAAGTTTTTTTAAAAATATGAAGTCTTAAAATAATGATCTGAACCTTATATACATGGCATATTTTGCATGTGAAAATGAGTGTGTCACTATAGTAAGCGATTGAAAGAAAGAGTACCTGTTTCAAAACCGTACTGTTCTACTTTTTGATCTTTTCCTAATTTTATATGTCTGATGTTCTTAGGTCACAATAATACTAAATCAGGGAGTTTTTTTCTTTATTTCAGGTGATAGAAGTATTCATTAGAGCAGAAGATGGCCTTTGCAGAGAAGTAGTAAAACACCTTAATCAGATTGAGGAACAAATCTTAGATCACTTGGCATGGAAATCCGACTCCCCACTCTGGGAGAGAATCAGAGACAGTGAAACCCGAATCCCTGCCTGTGAAGAGGTTTGTGAAACTGTCTTCACATCGTTCTGTGACGTCCCTAATCCTCTTCCGATGGAGAGAAGTTAAGCTTCGTCCTCGTCCTGGGGCCCCGGAGTGGCTTTTGTGTTTAGTTTGTAGTGTCTTGGTGTCAGAGGGGACGGGAACGGGCAAGTGCAGGCCTGTCCCGCACTGGCGGCGACACGGTTGGGTGTGTTCCTCATTTTCTCATCAAATTCCTGAACTTTAGAGTGACAGGCATTCTACCGCTCCAAGTCGGTAATGAAGCTGAATTCATAGTCAGTGTGCAGTTCCTCAGGCTGTGAACTTTTCTTAGGACTGCTAGAAAAATCTTGTGTGGCTTTAGTATGAAAATGAAAAAGACTGCTGGTTTTACTTAGGTGGGCTAACTGAGGGGCCAAAGTCATTTCGTTTGGCTTCCTTACCTTCAATTGTTGGTTTTGTATTTTTTTACTTTTTGTTTGTTTATTTGCTGCTGTTTGGTCTTTGGCCGTTTTGTGTAACTCCTTCTCCGTAGGTCATGCCGCCACAGAACCTGGAAAGGGCAGATGATGTCTGTGTGAGCGGCTCCCCTCTGACTCCCAGAAGAGTGAGCGAACTTCGTGCTGATTCTGGAGGACACGGAAGGAGTAAGTTCAGATATCAGGAGGCATGCTTTGGAACCTAGTGTCAGGAGGTTTAAATTCCATCTACACCTACAAGTGAAGTACAGGGTATACGGAGAAGACACATCCTGTGCATTTTAGTGCCTTATGGGCCACTTAGAAAGAATGCTTTTAAAGAATATTTAAGAACAGAGGAAAATATAGTCTTTAGAAAGGATAGAATACCATATATTTATTGTGATCCCGTTTTTTTTTTTTTTTTAGTATCTTTCTGTAAGCATATAAAAGGGCAAAAGTGGAAGAATCAATCTTACAAATATAAGAATGTGTGGGATGACAGACTTGCTGGTGATTTTTTTGTTTGAAAGGCAGAGCAGCACACATGGGAAGCCTAAGCCAGAAGCCAGGGGCTGCGTCCAGGTCTCCCACATGGGTGATGGGTCCCAGGCCTTCATCTGAGCCTTTATTTGCTGCCTTCCCAGGCACATTAGCAAGGAGTTGGGTTGGAATCAGAGCAGCCAGGGTTTGAACTGGCACTCAGATACATGATGCTGGATCAGCGAGGACTTGAACCAGCACTCGGACCTTTGATACTGGCTGTGTAGGTGCTGGCTCAACTCACTGTTACAACACAAGCATTTTTTTTTTTTAAAGATTTATTTTTATTATGTTTTTATTGGAAAGGCGGATATACAGAGAGGAGAGACAGAGAGGAAGATCTTCCATCTGATGATTCACTCCCCAAGTGAGCGCAACGGGGCGATGCTATGCCAATCCAAAGCCTCTTTTGGGTCTCCCACGCGGGTGCAGGGTCCCAAAGCTTTGGGCTGTCCTCGAATGCCTTCCCAGGCCACAGGCAGGGAGCTGGAAGGGAAGCGGGGCCGGTGGGATAGAACCGGCGCCCATATGGGATCCCGGGCGTGCAAGGCGAGGACCTTAACCACTGTGCCACTGCACCGGGCCCCACGAGCAATTTTTTTATATTGTGTTTTCATACACAAAAGTAGTTTGGGGCCTGGCGCTGTAGCCTAGCAGCTCAAGTGCTTGCCTTGAATGTGCAGGATCCCATATGGGCCCCAGTTCTGATTTTGGCAGCCCCGTTTCCTATCCAGCTCCCTGCTTGTAGCCTGGGAAAGCAGTCAAGGATAGCCCAAAGCCTCGGGGACCCTGCACCTACGTGGGAGATCTAGAAGAAGCTCCTGGTTCCCAGCTTTGGACTAGCTCAGCTCTGGGCATTGTGGCCACTTGGGGAGTCAGTCATCGGATGGAAGATCTTCCTCTGTCTCTCCTCCTCTGTGTATCTGCCTTTCCAATAAAAATAAATCTTTAAAAAAAATTAGTTTGAAAGACTCAAAACATCATTAGCAGCTAAAACTCTCTTGGTATTTTGTTCCCTTTTCATGGCTGTTCACATTTGCCATAGTTTTATTTATACTATTCATGTATAAATACTTAAAGGCAAATATGTATTGCTTTTAAAATCCGAAGAAATGGGGCAGCTTCCTTACTGATGGGGCCACACGATGCAGTCAGGTGCCGGGAGGGCGTGCGGTGAGCGGACTGCGCTCTGTGAGGGCCCAGCTCCGTCACGTGAGCTGCGCTGTGCTGACGACGGCTGCTGGGCTCTGCGTCTGCCCTGCGGGGGGATAGCTGCTTGGGTGCCCTGGCAGATGGTGAGGCTTACGCTCCTGTGAATCAAGAGTACCTTTTTAAAGAGTGATTTTCTAAATTCCAAGAGTCCTGGGTTGCTGGATGCCACTAGTTCATAAGGTAATTGACGGGCACTAACTTTACAAGAGAGATGAGCCTTAACTACTGAGGCTCCTAAGCATATTTAGAAACATTAGAACCCATTGACCTGCAGTCTTGTCTGTAGGCTCGGGGGAGGAAGAGTGTCATGATTTCTCACCATTCAGAGGTTGGTGTGAATACTTAGAAATATCCTGCCCCATAGTGGTCAGGGTTTTTATTTGTAGGGTGGTGAAAGTTTGGGAAACAGAGGTAATGGTTGCACAAGGTTGTGGATGTAATTAACATCACCGAAATGTACACGTAAAAGCCGTTAGAGGGGCAGGTGTTCAACTAGGCAGTTAAGAAGTCTCTCGGCGTTGGAGTACCTGGGTCAGAGGGCAGAGGTGAACGCCCACAGCGCTGGGTTCTGCCACTCAGTGGGAGAACAGGGCAGAGGGTCTGGCGATTGTGGATGTTTGGGTAGCAAACCAAAGGATGAGACTTTCTCCTTCTTCCTCTCCTTCCCTCAATCTTTCTCTCCCCCCTCTACCTCTCAATAAATAATTTAAGAAATAAGAATGTTTAGAATGCCTGCTTTTAGGTAATTTACTTTATCGTAATTTTAGAAAGTTATTATGGTGAAATACTATATTATACCACTTATGTGGATGAAATGCATATTGCGCATTTTTTTTAAAGATTTATTTTTATTATTTTTTGATTGGAAAGGCGGATATACAGAGAGGAGAGACAGGAAGATCTTCCGTCCGATGATTCACTCCCCAAGTGAGCGCAACAGCCGATGCTATGCCGATCCGAAGCCAGGAACCTCTTCCGGGTCTCCCACGCGGGTGCAGGGTCCCAAAGCTTTGGGCCGTCCTCGACTGCTTTCCCAGGCCACAGGCAGGGAGCTGGAAGGGAAGCGGGGCTGCCGGGATAGAACCGGCGCCCACATGGGATCCCGGGCGTGCAAGGTGAAGACCTTAACCACTGCACCACCGTGCCGGATCCATGTTGCACATTTTTTAAACAACTCTTTTTCAACAACTAAGCCGAGTGGTTGGCGCTGTGGGGTAGCAAACTAAGCCCCTGCTTGAGGTGCCTGTTCTACTCCTGGCTGCTCCAGTTTCGATCCAGCTGCCTGCTAATGTGCCAGGGAAGTGGTAGGAGATGCCCAAGTCCTTGGCACCTGCACCCACATGGCAGATCTCCAGCCAAGGCAGCCACTTAGGGAGTGGGACACTGGGTAGAAGAGCTTTCTGTCTCTGTAACTCTGTCATTCAAGTACAAATAAATCTTTAAAAAGATGTATCAGGGCCCAACGCGGTGGACTAGCAGCTGAAGTCCTTACCTCACATGCACCGGGATCCCATATGCATGCCCGTTCTAATCCCGGCAGCCCCACTTCCCATCCAACTCCCTGCTTGTGGCCTGGGAAGGCAGTCAAGTACAGCCCAAAGCCTTGGGACCCTGCACCTGTGTGGGAGACCCAGAAGAGCTCCTGGCTTCAGATTGACAGAAGATCTTCCCCTCTGTCTCTCCTCCTCTCTGTATATCTGCCTTTCCAATAAAAATATTTTTTTTTTTTAAGGAGCCAGTGTTGTGGCCTAGTGAGATGAGTCTCTGAATGTTGTGCTGGCATTTTGTATGGGCACTGGTTCACGTTCCTGCTGCTCCACTTTTGATCCAGCGGCTGGTTGCAGCTTGGGAAGGCAGCAGAGGATGGCTTAAGTCCCTGAGTCCCTGCTTCCACATGGGAGACCTGGAGGAAGCTCCTGGCTCTGCATCAGCCCGGCTCCGGCTGTTGTCACTGGGGAAGTAAATGGGCACATGGAAGTTCTCTCTCGCTCACTTGCTCGCTCGCTCTCTCTGTCTCCCCCTTGTCTTTGTAACTCTGCTTTTCAAATAATAAGTAAATCTTAAAAAAATAGAAAAAACTCTGACTTTGGATTTTAATCATTAAAGAAAAAAAAAACTAGGCTGAAATGAAAACAATGAGATTATTTCAGAAAGTTCATTGAAAAGTAATTAAAAAATTATTTTGCTGTAATAAATTTTGAAATCCACGCATAGTTTTTTTTTTTTTCCAAAGTACACATTTTCTGTTACCTTCTGTAAGGGTTAATTTGTTGTTGATTTGAAAAGCAGAGCAACAGAGGGCGTGAGAGTTATCAGCTGGTTTGCTCCTCAGATGGCTGCAACAACTAGGGCTAGACCAGGAGGAAGCCAGGAGCCAGGGACTCTTGCCTGTTTCCCCACATGGGTGGCAGGGGCCCGAGCCTGTGGGCCATCCGCTGCCTCTGTCTGTTTCTCCTCCTCTCTGTAAATCTGACTTTCCAATAAAAATAAATTTATGAAAGCAACGGAGTAGCTGGTACTCAAACCAGCACTCATATGGGATACCAGTGTCAAAGGCAGCAGCTGAACTCACTACATCACAGCTGAACAAATGGCAGTCTGTCCTGTTAGATAAGTTTGATCTCTGTGAATTAAATGACTTGTTGGATTTGCTTTCACCCTAGGCATAGCCTCTCCAGCCACGTTATACGATCGGTACAGCTCCCCAACGCCCAGCACTGCCAGAAGGCGGCTGTTTGACAACGACAGCCCCGCGGATGGGGGGACACCCGGGCGCATTCCTCCACAGCCCCTGGTCAATGCTGTCCCTGGGGAAGCTGTTTCTGTCACGCCAGTTCCAGGACAGACCTTGGTCACCATGGCAACGGCCACCGTCACTGCCAACAATGGACAAACAGTGACCATTCCTGTGCAAGGTAAGGCAGGCAGCATCACACTGAGTTTTCCTTACGGCATGTTTGGGGAGTCACTGAGATTTTGTTGATACGGCACAGAGGACTGGTGAGCTGCTGGGGTTTGAGAGGGAGAGATTGGGAGCCTCTGCCTGGAGATCCTTGGATTACCGGTTTTCTTTTTTTTTTTTTTCTGCTACAAACTTTAGGTATTGCCAATGAAAATGGAGGGATAACATTCTTCCCAGTGCAAGTCAATGTTGGGGGACAGGCGCCAGCTGTGGCCGGCTCCCTGCAGCCCCTCAGTGCTCAGGCGCTGGCCGGAAGTCTGACCTCTCACCAGGTGTCAGGGACAACTTTGCAAATCCCTGGCCAGGTGGCCATTCAGCAAATTTCCCCCGGTGGACAGCCCCCGAGGCAAGGCCAGCCTACAGTCAGCAGCGTTGTTAGACCCAGGAAAACCAGTTCTTTATCACTTTTCTTTCGAAAGGTAACTTTTCATGTACCTTACCAGAACATGATTACGGATTGCAAGTGTTAAAAAGAGACTGAAAAAGTTTTTTAATGTGTTAGGTTTATCACTTAGCAGGTGTCCGCCTTAGAGATCTTTGCGCTAAACTAGATATTTCCGATGAACTGAGGAAGAAAATCTGGACCTGCTTTGAATTCTCCTTAATTCAGTGCCCTGAACTCATGATGGACAGGCACCTGGACCAGCTGTTAATGTGTGCTATTTATGTGATGGCCAAGGTAAGGACTGCGGGGAACTGGGAAGGCAAGGACTGCGGGGAACTGGGAAGGTAAGGACTGCGGGGAACTGGGAAGGTAAGGACTGCGGGGAACTGGGAAGGTAAGGACTGCGGGGAACTGGGAAGGTAAGGACTGCGGGGAACTGGGAAGGCAAGGATGCTGCTGTCTTACCCAGGATATTTTTAACAGCCTTGCTCACATGGAGTTCACTCCTTTAAAATGCACAACCCAACGTGTTGTATGTTCACGGATACATGCAGTGATCATGCTTGTTCAGTGTACTGTTGTTTCACAGGCACACAGCAACACGCCATCCCCGGGCATGCGGTTCTGAGCCGTTAGCCTTTGTCACGGGTTTTTGCATGGGTGTGTGCTTTCATTTCTTGGGCAAATCCTGTGAAGGACTGTTGAGTCATGCAGTCACTGGCACTCTTATCCAAAATAGTGCGCTGTTTCAGGAATTTTCCCAAGTTGTGTGTTATTTAGATAAAATTCAAACTGCACAGAGGCAACCATTTTAAAGAAAACAGTTGAGCGGCATCTGTGCATTCCGTGCTGTACACCTGCCACCTCTTTCTAGCTGTGAAACCTTTCCATGGCCACGGAGTAAAGCCCCTCCCTTCCCTGTTCTCCCTTCCACATCCCCCCTCACTAGTAGTTGGCTTTCTTGCTGTATGGATTTATCTCTTCTTGATAGTTCATCTAATGGTATGATACAATCTAAGGGTATTTCAAAAAATTAGTGAAAATGCAATTGAAAAAAAATGTTGGTGCAGAAAAACAATGAAATCCACACAAATGAAGGATCTTCAAAATGTTAATGAAAGTGTGTTGTGAAAAATCCCTGAGTGGATTTTCAACTGTTTCTTTGCACCAAAACTTATTTTTTAGTTATGCTTTTTCATGAACTTCACAGAGTACCATGCGTGTGGCTTATTTGGCTTAGAATGTCAAGGCGCCTTAAGGTTGTGGCGTGTCTCAGGCCTCCGTTTCCTTTTGTGTTGAGTGATACTGCGTTGTTTTGCTGCCTCCCAATCCAGTGGTGGTCCTCGGGGCTGTGTGAATCCCTCAGCTATTACAAAAGGTGCTGTTGTGAACATTTATGTGTATGTGGCTAAGTGCCAGTGTTCAGTTCTTAGGTTTATCCCTAGGAGTGGAATTGCAGGGTTATATGTGTTTAACCTTTTGAGGAACCACAGCCCTACCCACAGCTGCTGGCATCATCTTTTATTGCCACCCAAAATGCAAGAGAATTCCCATTTCTCTAAATTCTTGCCTAATTTTGAGCTTGCACATGCAGACACACCTCCATACTGAGTGCCATATCATTGTGGCTTTGGTTTCCATTTGCTTAATGATTAGTAATACTAGGCTAGATCTAGTGTTTCATTGCCCGTTATCTCATTTTTTGGTTCCAGCCACTCAAGTAGGTGTACAGTGCTATCTCATTGTGACTTTCATTTGCATTTATCTATTGATTAATGAGCTCATACATCATCTCATTTGTTTTTTTCCTGATCATTAAGTTTTAATATTGGGAAATAGGATCACTCTACTCTTTTTTTATTCTTGTCATGTTAAGATTCTTTCGCTATTCTAAGACCCTTGAAATTCCAGATGAATTTTAGAATTAGGTTACAAAGGAAACAGCTAGCCTTCTCATAGGGCTGCATTGACTTTATACATGGGCCAGGCGTGGTAGCCAGGCAGCTAAAGTCCTCGGCTTGCATGTACCAGTAATCCCATATGGGTGCCAGTTCTAATCCCAGCGACCCTGCTTCCCATCTAGCTCCCCGCTTGTCTCCTGGGAGGGCAGTCGAAGACAGCCCAAAGCCTTGGGACCCTGCATCTCCATGGGAGACCCAAAGAGGCTTTGGGCTCCTGGCTTCGGATCAGTGCAGCTCTGATCATTGTGGCCACTTGGGGAGTGAATTATCAGATGGAAGATCTTCCTCTCTGTCTCTCCTCCTTTTTGTATATCTGACTTTTCAGTAAAAAAATTTTTAAATAAATAAATAAAGATTTAAAAATCTATATCGATTTGGGGAATATTATTACCTTAGCTGTTATAAATCTTCTGATCTGTTAACATGAAATGTTTTATATTTATTTAGATCTTTGCTTTCTTTCAAAACTGTTTTATACTTTTAAAAGTATAAATTGGGTATTGAGTTCAATTTATTCTTATATGTTGTTTAATTTTTTTAATGAGGGAAAGAATAAAACAGTAAGTTCCTTTGCACTGATTCCCTCCTCAGATGCCCCCAACAGATCTGCAGGAGGGTCAGGGTGGGGGAAGGCGAAGTCTGGAGCCGAGAGCTCCGTGCGGGTCCGGCACGTGGTGGCAGGAACCCCAGTGCCTGATCCCAGCACTGCCTCCCGTGCTCCACACCAGCTCGAACCAGCAGCTGGCCTTCAATCCAGTTACTGTCATGTGAGATGCTCTTATCCTGGCCCAGAGCGTGTAGAACCCATGACTGTACTAAACCCCATTACTGTAATGTGGGATGCGCATATCCTAGGCAGGAGCTTAGCTTCTCGGGCAAGTACCCATCCTTTACAGATTCTTCTTGCTTTGTTTTTCCATTTGTATTTATTGTACTTGAAAGGCAGAGACTAGAGAGAAACTAAGCTGATCTTCCACCTGCTGATTCATTCAACTGCCCACAGTGGCCAGCTTAAACAGAATCTGGGCCTCTCACATGGGTACAGGGACCCAGGTACTTGAACCATTGCTTCCCAGGGTGTGCATTGTTAGGAAGCTGGATTCAGAAACGGAGCAAAAACTTTAGGGCCCTTCCGGCAGGTTTACTTACCTGTAGGTGCTAGCACCCCCTATGGGCTGTGTTTGGTGTCCCGGCTGCTCTGCTTCCCTTCCAGCTCCCTGCTTCTGGCCTGGGAAAGCAGCAGAGGATAGCTCTGGTTCTTGGAACCCTGCACCCATGTGGGAGCCCCAGTTGAGGCTCCTGACTTTTGCCTTTGGATCAGCTCAGCTGCAGTTGTTGCAGCCATTTGGGGGGTGAACCAGAGGATGGAAGATCTTGCTCCATCTTCTCTCTGTAAACGCACCTTTTGAATAAAGGTAAATCTTTACAACAAGAACTTTAATAAGCTGCTACACCAGACACCCCCGCACACATTCCACTAATGCTGCTGTAAATGCTGTTTGCCTTCTGATGTTTTACTGTTTAGCCTGCTTGGCGAGCTTAGTAGCCGTGATCGATTTTTGGTAGATTCCTTAGGACTTTGTATGTGCAGGAATTGTGTATCTGGTTAAAATTTCACTTCTTGTCCTTTTATTTGCTTTTCTTCCCTAATTACCCTGGCCGAGCCTACAAGTAGAGTGTTGGAGTGTTGAAAGCACAGGTCCCTTAGAGGGAAGGCATCTGCCCTCCGAGGAGAATGTGGTCATCTCGGGGATTTGTCCTCGATGCTCTTTACAGGTCTCTGTCCCTTCCTACTTTGTTGAATATTTTTATCATGAAGGTATTGGATTTTGTCCAATGCTTCTGTTTTTCTGAGCCCACCAAGAAGATGGTGTGTTTTTCTTACACTGTTGAAACAGTGATTGATTTGCATAGATAATCATGTAAATCCCTTGTGATCAGGATGTATAATTTTTTTTATATGACTAGATTTGGATTTCCAGTACATTGAAGAACTTTTTTTTAAAGATTTATTTTTATTGGAAAGGCAGATATATAGAGAGTAGGAGAGACAGAGAGGAAGATCTTCCATCTATTGTTTCACTCCCCAAGTGGCCACAATGGCCAGAGCTGAGCCGAGCTGAAGCCAGGAGCCTAGAACCTCTTCTGGGTCTCCCACACGCTGGTGCAGGGTCCCAAGGCTTTGGACCGTCCTCAACTGCTTTCCCAGGTCACAAGCAGGGAGCTGGATGGAAAGTGAGGCCAACGGGATTAGAACCGGCACCCGTATGGGATCACAGCACAAACAAGAACTTTAGCTGCAGGCTAACATGCTTGGCCCAAAGAAATTTTTCTGATTTTTTTTTTAAGAGTTATTTATTTGAAAGGCAGTGTTAAAGAGAGAACAAAAGTGCTAGAGATATCTTCCATCCACTGGTCCACTCCCTAATATGTCCCAAGGTCTGCAGGCCGGGCCAGTCCAGAGCCAGAAACTTCTTCCAGGGCTCCTGCGTGGGAACAAGAGCACAAAGATTTGGGCCGTCCTCCACTGCTTTCACAGGCCATCAGCAGGGAGCTGGATCAGAAGTGAGGCAGCCAGGATTCAAACTGGTGCCCCTTTGGGATGTTGGTGCCGCAGGCAGAGGCTTGATGTGCTGTGCCACAGCGGTGGTCCCACACTGAAGAATTCTCATGTTGTCCATATTCCTAGAGATTCTGGTTTGCAGTTTAGTCAGGACCTCATCTGGCTTCACAGGCTTGTTCCACACAGCGAATCCTGAAGTATTCCCTCCTACTTTTGGTTATTCAAAGATGTGGTAAAAGTGCAGGCACTAGGGTCTTGGCTTTTCTTTGTGGTTAGTTTATTATTTGGTCCTTTCAGATGATGATTCAGTTTTGCTACAGTTTTGCCTTTGTAAGAATTTGTCGAGTTTCTCTGGGCTAATTGGCTGGCGTATAATTATTCATGACATTCCTGTGTAGTCCTTTGTATTGTTTGCAGGCAGTAATCATATCCTTTCGCTTCTGATTGTAGCAGCAGGGGTCTTCTCCCCTTGAATCTTGATCAGTCTAAGGATTCGTCAGTTTTGTCCAGGAACTAGCTCTGGGTTTCTCTTTGTTTGCCAAGAACTAGCTCTGGGTTTCTCTTTGTATTTCATTAACATATACTGATTTTTATTCCCGTCTCTGCTTTCTTCAGGGTTAGTTTTTACCTTGAGATGGATTTTGGGTAATTAAGATCTCATGATCTTGTCATACTAGCATGCCTCTTTTTTAGGGTAGACATTAACCTAGAAGTCTCACAACCCAGCGTTAGCCTCATTTAGCACACGTGCGCGTTCCGTGCATCTGTCTCAGAACAGGTTGAAACGTCTCAATTCATACTCTGACCTTATTTCCATTTTGGCTGAAGAACTAAATTATTGCAGTGCTTGTCAAGTTTCCTGAGGATTGTTCTGTAGTCTGCTGTGTTTGTTGTAGAGAACAGATCGTACATTTACGAGTATTTTCTTTCACTGTTGATTGTTCTGTTAGGTCTGGTTTTCTGTTGCTGACTTTTTGCCTGAAGCTTCTATTCATTAGCACTTTGTTGTTCTAAAGTGTCATACATTACGTAAGTTATGAAGCCACCCGGCTTTCTTGTGACTGCTCTGTGTATCTGCATCCTTTCTGTGTGTTAACTGTCCTGTAGACCGCGCGGCAGTTACCTCCCCAATCATTTCTTCTGTTGATTCCTGTGCATTTTCGAGTTGCCATCTAAAGTTACTTCCTCCATTCAAAGTAGCTTTGTGCTTCTTTACCCTCTTTGTGCTGGTTTTTGCATCACATTTCATAAAGCTGAAGATCCAACAGCACGTGTTTGCACACATACTTAAGCACGTGTATCTATAGTCTCGTACAGCTGCTTCTGAATCCGTTAAGAGGGGCGTCTTGTCAAAGTGGGTAAAGCCTCTACCTGTGATTATGGCATCCTATATGGATTTCAGTTCTAGTCCCAGCTGCTCCTCTTCCAATCTAGCTCCCTCCTAATGCACCTGGGAAAACATCAAGAGATGGGCCAAGTGCTTGGATCCCTGTCATTGCCGTCAGAGACCCAAAGGCAGCTCCTGGATCTTGGCTTCACCTGGCCCAGCTCTGGCTGTTGTGGCCATTCGCAAAGCAAGCACAGAGGATGGAAGGGGCGTGTATGTTTAAGTAAACTCTGCTTTTATTTTTCTTTAACAACTCAGTCAGGGTTAGAGAGAGGCAGAGACAGAGAGGTCTTCTCTGCAGGTTCACTCCCCAAGTGATTGCAACAGCCATCGGCTTCTGCTAGGTTTCCCATGTGGGTGCTGGTACCAAGGACTTGAACCATCCTCTGCTGCTTTTCCTGGCCATTAGCAGGGAGCTAGATCAGCGGTGGAGCAGCCAGGACTAGAACTGGTACCTTTATGGGATGCCAGTACTGCATATGGAGGATTAGCCCGTTATGCCACCATTTCGGCCCCTAAGCTGCATTTCAAAATACATTTAGAAGTTTTCAGTCTTACTTCTTTGAAAACATGTTCTGCTTGTATAATTTCTCGTTTTCATGCTCCCATTCTGTGTACTCACAGTGCTCCGTGGTGTCACTGAGGGTGGCTCTTCATTCTTTATTCTTCACATGAGCCCAGTCTGCTCTTTTTTCTTTTTAAAATGGTTTTCCTCCTCTTGTAGGCTTCTCCTTCAGTGTAGTCTGATAGCAAACCTCTGCTGTAGCTGCTGAAGTTTGGATTTTTCGTGTAGATGTCTCTTCATTTGGATCCGTTTCACTCTGTGAATGTCCGTTTGGCCCCATCCCACTGCTGCCCGCTCGGAGTGCGTCCGCTGACCTTGGGAAACTGCCCTCGCTCTGAGAGCACTTTTATTCCTCACCAGGTCACCAAAGACGACAGGTCCTTCCAGAACATCATGCGCTGCTACAGGACTCAGCCACAGGCTCGCAGCCAGGTAACCACATCTCCTTGTGGGGCTAAAGTTAAAGCTGTACACTCACGAGTGTGAACACTGACTGCAGCTGACTCTGTGGCCTCCTTTTCAAACATCTTAATATTCTGCTTCTAACAGAGTCACCGCTTTTATCCTTCATCAGCAAACACCCTCACATGTTGGTAATTTTAAGACCTCTTTCCTCAGAAGCCGTTGACAGTGTAGAATCTCCTAATACAGAGACTCACAAGATAGATGCAAATTAAGAAGTCATTTGGTTTCTCTGTCACCTTTCAGGTAGATCAGTAAATGCAGTGCTGTACATGAACCAAGCTCCTGTTAACATTTCAAGCCCGCTTTCCTTTTGGTGCCATTCATTTGTCTCGCTGAGGCAGGCATGATGCATTTTGCATCGGCTTGGTGTGCTTGGATTTGCTGACGGGGCGTTGTTGCACTGCAGCACCACGGTTGGCACTTGGCTCTGTGACTGTTATTTAATTGGTTGCATTCCTGACTTCCCCCAAGCAGGACAACCAGACAACCTAGGGCTGCTGCGACAGTCATGTGGTGTAGCTGGATCGTGGCTACGTAGCATGTGCTCAACACATACTGTTCCTGTCCCCTTCTCAATGTCTTCCTGAAGGTGTACAGAAGTGTTTTAATAAAAGGGAAAAGAAAAAGAAGAAATTCGGGCAGCAGCGATAGCAGAAGCCATCAGAATTCTCCAACAGAACTCGGCAGAGACAGAAGTAAGTGGGACCATTAGGAACTATGAAGAAACATAGTTTCTTGTTTTTCAGGGCTAGAACACTAAGGCTTTAATAGTGAAATAAGCACTGTTGGGACATGAGAAGTGTTTGACTGCAAAGCTTTTAGGGACAATAAATCTACATCTGTTCTTTGGAGCACAAAGTGTGTACCACTCCTGAATCTGTTGTCCCAGGTTCTAGGAAGAGCCCGTGTCTGTCGGAGAGGGAGATGGAAGCAGCTGTCTTAGTTGCCAGTTTTCACTGCTTCGTGCAGGGCACTGATCCTAGAGACCTGGTGCAACTCAGTAATGAACGGGGTGGATTTCCTGACAGGCTGTGAGCGTTGCTCCTTGGTGTGAATAGTGCCCACGTGTGGCCGGCAGTCAGTAGTGCAGCTAGCTGCCTTTCTCTGCACCTTCGTCTGAGTTAACCTGCCTTGTCGTGCTGCAGCCAGCAGAGACTCCAGTCCAGTCATGCGCTCGAGCAGCACACTGCCAGTCCCACAGCCCAGCAGCGCTCCTCCGACACCCACCCGCCTCACGGGTGCCAACAGTGACATGGAGGAGGAGGAGAGGGGAGACCTCATTCAGTTCTACAACAACGTCTACATAAAGCAGATTAAAAGCTTCGCCATGAAGTACTCACAGGGGAACGCGGTGAGTGTGACAGGGATGCTCAGGCTGTGGCCCCTGTGGGGGCTGAGGATCCGTTTATGTTGGACCTGTTCCACATGCAAAGTGCTTTTGCAGGTAACAGGCAAAACAAAGGGAAGTCTAGTGATCAGCAGTTTAATTTCTGTGGCTGTTACGCATCACAAAGAACAGGGTTGTATTTGGAGTTCCTCCCAAGTATACAAGAGACAGCCTAATGGCTCCACTGTTCAATCCTGAGCAGGGCTGGTCACCTCTCAGAATACTTCCTGTGCTTATAAAGTGCACGGCAGTTCTTAGTTTATAGGTTTATATTAACTAAAAAGACTGAGTGACTAGAAAAAGCTCAGCATTTAATGTTCATGATTTTTTAATACATCACTGCTTATCATTCATAAAACTGCTAGTGTTTTAATACCTATACCTCTTAATTCTAGAGGACTTTTTTTTTTTTTTTTTTTTTTTTACTGGAAAGGCAGATTTACAGAGACAAGGAGAGACAGGGAGAGCTCTGTCCACTGTCAGAAGTGGCTGGAGCCGAGCCCATCCAAAGGCAGGAGCTCTTTTGGGTCTCCCACGTGGGTGCAGGGTCCCAAGGCTTTGGGTCCTCCTTAATTGCTTTCCCAGGCCACAAGCAGGGAGCTGGAGGGGAAATGGGGCAGCCATGACACGAACTGGTGCCCATACGGGATCCTGGCATGCCCAAGGTGAAGACTTAAGCCAGTAGGCTACCGTATCGGGCCCCAGAGAACTTGCTGCAATGGAAATGTCTGCTTAGACATTTTGTCTTGGAACGGATTTTTCTCAACAGATGGACGCTCCTCCGCTGTCCCCGTACCCGTCTGTGAGAACAGGCTCTCCTCGCCGGGTACAGCTGTCTCAGAGTCATCCCGTCTACATCTCCCCACATAAAAACGAAGCAGTGCTTTCTCCCCGGGAAAAGATTTTCTACTACTTCAGCCACAGTCCTTCAAAGGTGAGCCTGACAGAGCTTGCCACGAATAACTCTGACAGTTAGCATGCTGGGAAACGTGAGGGAACAGTGACCGGGAAAGGCCTGGCAGAGAGGCTGGTACGCTGCTTTCTGAGAGCTGCAGCATTGGGAATGCAATACATTAAAAAGCTCATGAAAAATAGAATGACAAGGAATTTAACTCTAAACACTATATCCATGCATACATAAGTGTTGGATTTAATTCCCACAGGATAGTGAAACTGTCCACTTGCTCATCCTTGAATGCATGCTGAGCCAGCAACTCAATCTACATTCTTAGGATTATTTGAAAGGCAGAGAAGGAAAGAGCTCTTCCATCCATTGGTCTGCTCCTCAGAGGCCACGGTGGCCAGGAATGTGCCAGGGCAATGTCAGGAGCTTCCTCCTGGTCTCCGAGTGGGTGCAGCAGCCCGAGCAGATGGACCATCTGCTGCTTTCCCAGGCGCATGTAGCAGGGAGCTGGGTCACAAGTGGAACAGCCAAGACAAGCCAGTGCCCACGTGATGCTGGCATTACAACCCAAGTCCCTCAATCCACACTTGTATTGTGGGTAACAGATGTAGTGCATCAAGTGTACCCAGACTTGACAATAAAAAGGGACTGCTGATAGAGCAACATAGTTGCATCTCAGATGCATTCCTGCTTGAGGGACAAGCACTAGGTTGACTAGGTGTACTGACATTCATAGTCTGAAAAGGCAGAACTACGGGAAGTGTGGTTGTTTGGGGGTAGGCTTCCTATGACATGACAAAAGGGAATTTCATGTCTATTACGGCTGACACAGGAACAGGCATTGGTCAAAACATAGACCTGTGGGAAGTTTCTTCAAAGTTTGTGGAAAATTAAATCAGACTTCTTGAATTGACCCCCTACAATTCTTTGCCCTGACAGATCCTTCAGTCCAGTGAAAGGTCCCTTTAACAGGCATCACTGACAGTCTTCATCGTAACTGATCTTGCGCAATAGTCGGCAAATGTGGGCAGGAGGCCCAAGCTGCTACTTAGTCTGCAGTGTTCTCCTTTAGTCTCAGGTATCACTGAGTCATGACGAACACTTCCCTCAACCAGTAACACCACAGTGTTTGATCGCTTAGTGAGGAAACTCACTTGTGTCCTGTACTTCATTACCCTTTGGGAGGATTTAAACAAATGTTAAGAGCAGCAGTGTAAACCAGTAAATGTTTCTGCTTTTCTTCAGCATTCACACACTCCAAAATCCACCACTTCTAGCTTGTGAGGTGCATGGCCAAGAGGGCCAGCATTGTCGTCATGGGCAGAACTGCATACAACACTGGCACCCAAAATTGTAGCTGGTGTGTGTCCCAGCTGTTCTACTTGCAATCCCTTGCTCAGGGCCCAGGAAAGCAGTGCTTGGGAGACCCACATAAAGCTTCTGGCTCCAGCCTGGAGCAGCAGTGGCTATGCAGGTAATCTCCTTTCCATAAGCTGTTATACAAAAGCAAACTGAGACGGCTAATATGCTAGTTCACTCTGTTAATGCTAAAGCCGGCAACTGTAAATGAATTCTACATTCCCACCTAGCCAGCAGGGCCCTAACCGCGTGAGGCCACAAGCTGCCTCCCAGTGTGTATCAGCAGGAGGTTCAACCAGAGCTTAGACTGGATGGCAGGAAATGCGTTATAGGATACAGTGTCAGGCAGCTCCTTATCCACGACATGAAATGCCTGCCCCCATTTACGTATATATATTTGTAATTCCTACTTAAGTATTACACAGTTCTAGAAATGAGTCCCTTCCTTGAAAAGAGTCCCCACCATCCTTACTCAGAACAGAAATAGTGGTATCCCTGGAAGAACAAGTATCTTGGGCACTGGGTGAAACACTTGGGCACTTAGGTTTTTTTCTGGAATAAGATTCTGTAAGAAAATGTCCTGAAAACAAAACCCTCTAACCACACAAACCATCGGAACTAGCACTAGTGATTTTAGCAACGAACAACGTTTAGTGCAAGTCTACTTAGGGAATCCAGACTTAACCGCTAATGAAACCCCAGTTGGGAAGGTGGGCTGAAAAATGAACAGCATTGGGCTGAAAAAAGGACATGTAAAAAGAAAATACACGTATGCTCGTTATGTACAAATGATTAAATAGGGCATAGCAACCTCACGGGTGCACTTGTGCGGTGCAGAAATGCACACAAAGTCATCTGTAAAGAATACTCTGCTTCACTCAAACAGGCACTGGCTGTGGCTCAGGGTGAAGCTGGGACAGTAAGTCAGAATTTTCTCTATAAAGTTGCTCAAGTTCTTTGAGGTAAATTGCTTAACTCTTTTGAGGATTTTTTTGCTTTGTACTCAGATATGTTAGCATTTAAAATACTGTTTTGTTTTGTTTTGTTTTACCACCAGAGACTGAGAGAAATTAACAGCATGATACGAACAGGAGAAACTCCAACTAAAAAGAGGGGCATTATTTTGGAAGATGGAAGTGAGTCACCTGCAAAAAGAATCTGCCCAGAAAATCACTCTGCCTTACTACGCCGTCTCCAGGACGTGGCTAATGACCGAGGTTCCCACTGAGGTTAGTCTCCGCTTAGCAGCGTCATTAATGAGTGCTGCTTGAGGGATCCCTTTTCAGCCAATCAGCTGCAGCCTGTTGAGACATGGGGGGGACAGTGAGAAGCTGACCGACTCCATCCAACATCCTGAGGATGTTCCTACTAGTTTGAACCAGAGCTCACTGCTGATACTGCTTAGAGTCCAAAGCTGGATTGTCAGCCCTTTGGCACAGCCTTTACAAACACTGCCAGGAACAGAGTGTGCTCAGCCGTGGGCATCGGAGGTCTGTCGGCATGCCGCAGCAGAGGAACAGTCCTAGAGCCCTGGGCAGGAGTGAGAATTCCGCATTGCTGAAATAGAAAACAGGAGACTCCCCACATTCAGAGGGGCCAGGCTTCTCGACCCCTATGTGCACTTCCTCCCCGTCCCCCGAGGTGTGGGGTAGTGTGAAAGGCACTTGTTCAGTTGTGCAATGTGTGAACCTGTACAAGCGGCAGCACTTTAGGGCTGTGAAATGCATGCTTTTTGTAACCTGGTTTTGCTGTATGTTTGCGATGGCACTTTTTACAATGTAAACTTTAAGTACAAAGCTTTTAGACTAAAACATTCAATACTTTCTTTAAATGCTTTTGTACTTTTTTTAAACTGTCAAAGCCCCACTAGCTGCCTTTTGGGCATTTTAAATTCTCCAGTATTCCACCATGTTAGGGATGAGATGGCTAAGCAAAGATTTTTAAATCAAGTTAGACTGATGAGATTAATATGGGAAATTTTAAGTTCTTCCTTTGGGAAGTAGCTGTCCAAAAGACGTCTGTTAAGGGGATATATTTTAAAGTCTGTTTGGGCATATTCCTAGCAGTATAAAGAAGTTGGAGAATTTCAGTTTATTAGTACACAGTGCCATTTATACAAATCAGAAAATGTTATTTAACATCTACTGAGTTATCTGTATATATCTTTATTAATCACTATTGTTCCAGCAAGTTTAAAGTTGAATTAATCTTATTAGGGAGAAAAATTCAATTGTAAATTGAATCAGTATAAAAAAAGTTACTAGGTAACTTCATAATGCTCGAAATACGGAACTCCCACTATTCAACTAGAATAGTGTTCTACAAAAATATTTATAAAGCCTCTCCAGATACTTCCTGCTATGTAATTTTATATGAAAATAACTATTTTTCAATAAAGCATTTATAAATTAGTCTTGTTTAGTCATACTGAGAACGGAGTATTCAGTGTCCTACATAAATGACAAGGAATGATCATTTATTGATTTATTTTGTCTCTACTAAACACATTAGTCATTCATCACTTAAATATCTGACATCGTTAGAAACCGTTTAACACTTTGTCTCCCTCCTGCCATAAAAATACAGTAAGTAGTTTGCTTTTTAAAAAACCAACTATGAACAAGTCTCTGACTTCCTCTCATCTACTACACTTCGCGGGGACAGCAGTTTGTGGCTCAGTAAGACAGTAGGCTGAAGATGAATTCCAACCATCTTCACTCCACAGTGCTGACGCCTGCCACCTGCTCTCTGCCTCGACAGCCAAGACCGCTGGCTTTGGGACTATTCAATAGTGTTGAAGTCTGTTCTATTAGTTTACATGAGTGCAGCTTACCTTTAGTATTACAGTCAGAAAAATACTTAAGCCTCAAGGTCCCCAATCATTTGCAGTACAGACCTAGATAACGGCCCCAAGACACTTCTGACAGAAGTAATGCTTACTGAAAGAGGTCTCCAAAACCCGCGTGAGCCCTACAAGCCCGTGGGAAACACTGCTGTCCAGTCCTTGTGTGCACAGTTTACTCCTCAGGCAGTCCTCTGCCACTGGCCAGCTGTCACAAGGTCAGAGTCCAGCAGGAAAGTGCGTGGTGCACGGGATTCACCATCTTCTAAGTTGCTACCGGTTTTTCTTCTTTACTGAACGGCTGTACTGATCCGGGCTTTACCCACGACAGGCCAGCAACGTGAACACTTTTATTGTGCTGTTCTTCAGGCTGCTTCCAGGCACAATCCAAAACAGACCAAAAAATAAGGGATGAGAAGATCTCACAATGAATACTTACTTGTCAAACAGGTATCTGTATGGGATCAGTGGTTTCCAGTGAAGATACCGTGGTCATCTACTTACTTTCTGTGTTAGCATCTTCTCTCTGGCTTCATCATGTATAGAAGGATTCCATGGAGAAAAGCTTAAGGGAGAGAAAAGTGAAAAATCTGTATAGCATCCACTTTACTAATTCCCCTAACAATTTAATCAAGAAACACTTTTTGAAAATTATTTTTTAATCAGTTGTCAAGATGTATGTTTTAGACATTATCGAAGTAACTTCTCATAACCGCATCTCACGTGTGGATTAAGTGCCCCTCAGCCGCTCGTGTACTGCTGAACATAAGGAAAGCAAGGCCAGCAAAGCCAACCACGGCTACAGAGCGCAGAGGCCGTGCTCTCGGCCCCAGCAGACCCCGAGCCCCACGCCCGAGCAGCACAGCCAGCACGGCTGGCAGGGGTCAGAGTGGGCAGAGCAGCCTTAGCAAGCCAGTCACTAAGTGCTTGCCCTTGGCACAGGGCAAGATACAAAGCCTTGAGACAAAAGTGGTAGGCTGACAGATTAGACCAAGTTCTTCTAAATTCTGGAAGAGCCCACCTGGAGAATGGAGTCCAGACGGCACACCGCTTACCTAATTGCATAGGGGTCTTCTATTTTAGGTTGGTCAAACAAATGAGCAGTGCACACCTTCACACTGTCGACCACTTTACTTTTAAACAGCTGAACATCTTTTTCATACCTGTGTTGAGAGCGTACATGGAAAAATTATCAACTTGATCTACTCTGCATTTTCAAGTTTATCTTAATAACAAAGCAAAAGTGACATACAGCACTGCAGCCTCTGGGTTTAAGGGGCTTGTCGTGTCGATCTTGTAGAAGACTCTCCTTGCATACATCAGCACCTGCCAGATACGATTGTAGTTCCGCCTACAAGGAAGCAGCATGGCTTGAGTCCTGAGGCCTCCCGCCATCTTACGTCACAGCAGCAGCACACTGTCTTACTGACCTCCACTTTGCAAACGCTCTCTTCACATCCAGTTCACCTGAGGTGGGGTCCACTAGCGGGTGGAAGACGGGAATATCAAACACGAGGTGCTGCAGGGAGAAGACACATCCTTTCACAGGAAGCTCTGAGCCCATGAGCGCCACAGACGGTCACGAGGGCAGCCCGGGGCCAGGCGAGGCACTCATGGCACAGAGCTGCCAGGGTGCACTGCCAGCTCCTTGCACCTTTCTCCTATAGCATTCAGTTCTGCCAAGGGAACAGGTCAGTCCCTCCCCGGTGCACAAGGATCACCAGGCCTGCTTCTAGCCTTCCCCATGCACCCTGAGCCCAGAACTCGGCACAGCCAAAGGCAGGACAGGCAACATCACACACAAATCCCCAGCGGAGACAGTGGGGAGGGCAAGCATTTTAGAGCACCAATCAGTGATCGCTGGGTCAGGAGGATGGAGAAGCCCGCCCGCTCCGGTCCCACAGGTGGGGTCAGGCCGTGGCCCTACGTACTGGACAGTCCCCATCGGGGTAGTTGTCAGGGATGTAAACTGTAAACTTGAACACGCCGTCCTGGTAGAGTCCATGCCGTATGAAGATCACTCCAAACCACACTGCAGGAGCAGATGGAAACGGGGTCAGGGTTTAGCTCAGAGCAGCCCAGTGTGCTACAAACAGAATGAATCCTGGTCTTACTTAATGCGGAGTGGTAAGACGGCTGCACGTACACACCCGGGAGCTTCTGCTTCACGACCAAGGTGCTACGAGGAAAGCGGCACACAGTGAGCTGGCACGGACGCGGTGAGCCCCGTGTGCGTTTGCTGAGCCTCGGGGGCAGCCGGTGCTCGGGCCGCCCCCCCCCCCCGAGTCCTCCTCCTCTGACCTCACAATGTCTGCACCAAGAGAAGGCTACCCGGCCCCGTGAAGACATTAAAGCCCGGCGCGGACCCCCAGAGCGTCAGGCTTCCCTCCCAGACCCTGGCCTGCAGGCTCCTGAGCAGTGCAACTCCATGTGCACATGCTGGACATTAAATATGAAATAAATGCGCATGTAAAATTTGAATAGCTTGTGGAACTGATCTCACACATTTAGAAACACTTTAAATCCAATTTGGGGGTAATTAAGAAAAATGAAGGCTCCAAGGACTTGCTGTCCCTTTAATGTCAGATGGAGTCTGAGGGCAGTGCTGGGATCTGGGTGCTGAGAGATGGCGTCAGCATGGAACTGCCAGCTGGACTGCTCTCAGGTTCACCCCCTACTCAGACACTTGAACTTGGGAGCAAGATACAGGAGGCCAGCAAGGTGACACAAAACTCACTGGTTTTCCTGAGACCCAGGTCCCCCTCAGCCACTCTGTCCCGTGTTCCTTGCAGCTATGAGCCCAAATGGGCAAGGGGCTGCAACCAAATCTCTGAAAGAACAATGTTTTCAACCAAGGGCCTTAAAACACTTCACCCTCCTCCGTCCTGAATGTTACTGAAGCGGCTTATTGGGCCTTTTCTGTTTTTATCACCTATTTACCATCGTGTTTATTTTTAATGACTTTTAAAGTCACTAAGAATCAGCATGTCAGCGGCAGCACGGTTGGCAGTCACATCAATCAAAGTTGGTCAGAAAAGGCAATTTTGTGTCCTAATACACAGCAGATTCAGTCTCCACAGTGGAAGCCTGTCCAGCTCACTGCCCAGCTCAAACACAAGGCCTCCATTATAAACAAAGCTACAAAGACCTCTGCTACCGAATAACCCCAGCCCCTCTGACCATTCCAGCACTAACGCTGGGGGTGACGGGCATGGGGACTGTGTCAAACACAGATTTAGTTTATATTCATTTGAAAGGCAGAGAGCCAGGGATTTTCCATGTGCTGGCACATTTCCCAAATGCTTGCAACCACCAGGGCTGGGCAAGGCCAAAGTCAGGACCTGAAATTCAGTCTGGTCTGTGTCTTCCATGTGGGTGGCAGGGGCCCAGGGACGTCAGCCATCACCTGCTACCTCTGAGGGTGCATACTAGCAGGAAGTGGACTGGAAACACAGGCACTCTGATAAGTTGCTCTTTGAACGCCCAAATCCCTTAACCACTATGCTAAATGTCTGCCCCAACAGTAGTTTTACATTAAGTTCATAGGGGCCAGCCTGGTTTGCAGCCTGTAGGCCAGCAGCTGACATGGGGAGCGCTGGTCCAAGTCCTGGCTGTGTGCTTCCTTCACAGCTGCCTGCTACTCTGCCTGGGTAAGCAGAAGTCCTGGGCCCTCCGCCACCCACGGGGAAGACCTGGGTGAAGCTCCTGGCTCCTGGCTCCAGGCTCCAGCAGCAAACTAGAGAGTAACCAACAGGAGGAGTCTGCCTTTCAAATAAAAACATAAAAATTTGAAGTTCACATACCCAAGCTTCTGTTCTTTTAATAGATCATTAAGTCAGACTGCATCCCCAGTGACAGGCTGTCAGAGCCCTGTGTCGTCGCTCTGAGCACTGTGTGCACGGTCAGGTGAAACCTGGGGCTCCGTGGGCGCTGTGACTAAAGCCGTGGCTTACCCGGGGCTCCCTGTAATTACCTAGTCCTGTCCGAAAGTCTTATCAACTAAGTCACGTCCCTTCTAATGACAGACCTTTAAATATATGATGGCAACCTGAATAGGTACTTGAATTTCCTCTTCCCCGAGCCAGGAGTTTCACTTCCTTCAACTGTTGACTCCAAAGGTCTGCGATCCTGACCCCTCGCTCTCTGGGGCCAGGATGCCTCCTGCAAGGTGACAACCAACACAGAGCAGTCCTCCCGCGGGGTCTGACCCAGGAGAGCGGCATTGCTGTCTCTCCCCTCTGTCCTACAATGATGACCTACTAACTCTCCAGGAAGTGACCTCCTGCGCTCACAGCAAACAAGGTCAAGAATTAAGGTCCTGATCTGCCACATGTTTTTAATCTTACTCTCTTCCCCCCTCTTGCTCTGTAAAGCCACCATGGAACTTAAAGAACATCCACCTTTAAGTCTGCTTTAGCCAACCTCTAAGTAAACATGAGAATACTGTAGAAAGGATATTTACAGAACACCAGCCAGCTCTAGGCAGAGGAAGGCCATCCACCAGCCCGCGCCTCCAGAAGTCTGACGTTTAAGGCCCATGCTGTAGGGGCTGGGGGTGAGCTTTCTTGCCGCCATTTACTGAGCTCACCAGAATAAGTTTCATGTGCACTGAGGTTCCTGGGTCATCTAACCCAAGAGTTTGTTAACTTACAACTCTGCCAAGAGAGAGTACTCCAGGTAGAAGGGTCCGTAGGAAGCATGCGTGCCGTTTGTTGACTGCGCTGCGGGGGCGGGAGATGTAGGCTTCGTTATGGGCAAAGCATTCTTGGGGATAGAAGGCAGCTGTTTTCTTGAGGCGGCTCGTGGAGGACTGGTTTTCGCGTCCCCTGTCGAGGTCTTTTCTTCACCATCAGATCGCTATTCAAGGTGAAGGTGTGAAAGTAGTTGTCAGGGTGACTTGGAAGTCACAGGAGTAGGGGTCAGCTCCAGGACCTGCAGGCTGCAACTGCTCTTGCACAAAGACACACTCATGCTGATCAAGACAGCCAGATGGTCGTCTGGCAGGCAGACCACGCAGACAAAGCCCAAGCTACGCTAAAACGTCAGGAAAACCCTTGGGGTTCCTGCAAGAACACCCCGTGAACACTTACAGGATCAACTCAAACAGGTCAGGAAATGGCTTTCCTGGCGCCCCACCCACCCAAAGGTCACTGAGCAGTCAGAAGCCTGCAGGAGCTGGGAAGGGGCCCCTTACACCTCAGGGCTGTGGCAGGTGCCTCGCTTGCTGACTGCAGGAAGTCCCTGCCGCTGCTAGCACCTGGGGACAAAGAATGCAGCTGCCGAGTCCCCCGGGGCTGATTCCATGTTGGCCCTCATGGATGTTCCTATGTCTGCAGTGTTATCAGTGCAAAGTATCAGACGAGCTGATAGAAGAGTCCGGATTACAGCTCCTAGGTGGTACCTAGGCTGTTATTAAATGTGTAAGCACTGCATACCGTGTGCAAAGAAATACAACTGCAACATTCTCTCAGAGGCTAAGTTATAGGTTATGAAAATCTTTTTTGGTTGGACTCTGAAAACTCAGCACTGCTCAGGTCTGACCTGCCTTTCGCAAAGCTGCTCTAACCACAGGAGTGGGACTACATGGACGTGTCAGACTCCACCCCCAGCCTCTTGTGACCTCCACAACTGTTTCCACCTGTCTGAGCGACAGTAACTGATGAAATTACTGTCTTCTAAAAGGCAGGCCTGTGCGGATCACGGGTGGCCTGCACGTGTGGGTCAGTCTAGCCTCCAACCCGAGCCTCTCCGAGAAGAGAAGCGGCCGAGTTCCCTGCTCCTTGACTGCACCTACTTTGCGTACGGAGCTTGTAGACATGCTCCACAAAGGGTTCATCACGTGGGCTCCAAGCAAAGACGTTCAGTGGCGTGGGTCATCAAACTCTCTTGTCCTCTTCGTTCGCGTCACCTTAAAACATGGAGAAACACACAAACACCCAGCACCCAGTTAAAACTAGACCAGCACCCAGTTGAAACGTCTCAAATGGGTAGAAACTAAATCTGATACCCGAGATCCACTATGATGTTATATAACCCAGGTTATACAAACCCAGGAAAATGTCTTGAGGCATCCACAGTTCCTGCCTGTACCACCCTCCTCCTGAATCCCGCGCCCCTCCCTCCACCCGGACACGTTCTGGCTCCAATTTCCATCCCGCCTTTAGATGCCTACAAGAACCCAGGCGCCAGATCCCTGGCCAGGGATTCAGAATACTGTGGCACTGCAGCTCACCTGTGGTACTCAGAGTCAGAAGATACAACATTTGTGTCACTGGCACGACAGGCTCATTGTGCACTGGAGAGCCACACACCCACACACAAAGCAAACCTTCTATCACTGTTCCAGGGGGTGAGAACAAATGAGAGTCACAGTGGCTGGTTTGAGAATGTCTTCAGCGAATCATCTCAAGTATAGATGATTCACTCCGGCAAAACTAGCAGCGGAGGAAATGAGCACCAGGGAAGACCGAGCATCACCACGTAGGTGAGGGTCCTTACCAAGGCGCTACCCATCTGAGCTGCCAAAACTCTGCAGACTGCATGAGGCACTTAAGGAACTGCCACACAACAGACGAGGAACACACATTTCCCAAACACAAATCTCCCACGGGAGGCTTCAAGTCGTGTACAAAAAAAAAAAAAAAAACCACATTTCAGAGGTCACCAAGTCAGCGGGACATTTACTAAAAGCGCAGGAAAAGCGGTCAAGCTCTGCCGCTGTCGGCACCGCAGCCTGCCCGCGCCGGCCTGCACTTCCCTCGGGGCTCCCAAGGTCAGGGGCAGAGGTCCTCTCCTCGGAATTCCTAATCACACCAAACAGCGGGCAGAAAGGGTGAAGCCCCACCGCATGCGCCTGGGCACCCACTACTGAACACCACCCTGTACCAACGGCCCGAGCCGGCAATCGCTGGGAGCTCCGTGCAGCCCATGACATCATGGGCGAACCCCAGCCTGTGCCTGCTGTTGGCATTTCTAGAAGATAATACCACCCAGTAATTAAGCCAGACGAATAAGGATCCCAGTTCTTCCACTACCATCTTGACTTCTATCGCCCCCCCCACACACACACGGGAATCAAACACGAGGGGCATTTTCCCTGTTTGGCCCTAATGAAAACATGTTTTAGCTGAGGATGAAGATTGGGCTGGAGGGGGGCGCTCCATACGGTCCTCTCCCACGTAGCGCGAGTTCACCGAGCCACAGCAGTCACCTCGAAGTGTATGCTCCTGGTACTGAAACCTGTCTCCTTTAAGGAGCCTGTAAAGCTCACCCCAGTTCTGCCTACCTGTTTACGCGTGATGGCTTTTTAAAATGTTAATCCAGTGCTCCCAGCAGCAACCATCAAGCGCATTGTAGCCGTTTGGGGGCATTTAGCCTGATGTAGACATGATATGACATTCCAGCAAGAGTGACAGAGCTTAACAAGCCAGTCTCGTCATTAAGCTACAATTTTTGATTTTCTGCTCGTTGGCCCCAGAGAACAAAATACGTCGCCTGCCTTTATGGCCCCCGCATCCTCAGCCTGTGCGTACCCAGCAGAGCCCAAGCTGGCACCATAGCACTGCTTTTAATACATTGTACCCAAGCAAGCTGAAGAGATTGCACATTAAGGGGTGACGGTGTAGAACCCAAAGGCCTGGGGCAGCCGGTTTGGACGGGCACCCTCGCCAGGGGCAGAAACCAGTCTCTGAGCACGTAGGGAATCTGGACAAACCTGTCTCAAGGTGACGCAAGGCGGGGGCCCAGTGCCGACCTTACAGCTACCTCCCGGCGGGGCTGGGACCCCGAGAGCCTCTCCCGCGGGAAGGGCTGAGTGTCTCGGGGCTCCGCGTCGCCCACCCTCAGCCAGCCGGTCTCGGACCCGGCCAGCGGGCGCCGCGGACTGCGGGAACTCCTCGGCCGCCGACGCAGCAGGTGCCTGCGAAAGGCGCACAGGTGCCCAGCCCCGCCCCCGTGTCCCAGCGCGGCCGCCGTCGTGGAGCGCCGGGCCTGGTGACGCCGGCGGCCCGGGCTCAGGCACTCCGCGACCCTCGCGCACCTACCAGCCAGGCCTAGTAGGGTGTCTCGCCCCGGTGCCTTCGATGCAGAGGTGGCGGCGGCCGGCGCGATCCGACAGCATCTCAGGAGGCTGAGCCAGCCCGGCCCCTGCCCGCGCCGCGCCCCGCCCCACCTCCTGCCTCACGCCCCGAGGCCCCGGGACGCTTCCGCCCAGCCTCCAGCCGCCCAGTGGCTCCCGCACCTGTCCATCAAGTACGTCCTTCCGGAGGCGTTGGGACGACAGCAGTCCCTCCTGCCAATCAAATCCGGTCATCTCGGGTGGGGCTGCGGCGGACCCGCCCCTTACGTAACAGCTCCCAGGGGGCGTGCTGTCCATCACGGAAGTGTGGGTCCCGGGGGAGTGATGGGCGGAAACAAACAAGCAATTGGAGGACGCAATTGGGCGCGGCGTCCGCCAGTCGCCATGGAGACCCGCCCCGGAGGTCGGTGCCCGGCCTGGGTCTGGAGGAGAGGCAGCCTCGGGACTGAACCAGGCGGGGCCGATGGCGCCTATCGGGTGGTCAGCGCCGGTCAGGGGCACCGCCGGGGCAGCCGTCAGCCCCACCTGTGGGCCAGTCCTGGCGTGTCCAGTTGCCCTGCTGATTCAGGCCCCCCCCCCGGACCGTGGAAGGTCCTGGGTTGGGTTTTGTTTTCCAGCGACACAGTCCTCCACGGGGATTTGGGATTCCTTTCCCACATCCGGGCCGCTGCCACCGAGAAGCCTTCCCACGGGGCCTATTTCATACCAAATGAAAGCGAAGCCCAAGCCGGGCGTTCCAGGCACAGCCCGTTCTGGCCTCGTTCCATCTTCCCATCCACTTAGGCTCGTCTCTACCTCCTAGACCTGTTCCCTGTAGGATGCCCCACCAACCATCCGACGCCAAAATCCTAAACACACTGACCAACAGTGGCTGCCCCCCTTCTCTAGACGCCAATGGTCTTGACACCGCCCAATTTCTTTACAGTTAGAAGAAACACTCTGACCCGGCGATTTGTCGAGTTTTGGGTTAATGCTCAGATTCTAGTAGAAGACTTCAGTTAGGGAGCGCTCTGTTTCCTCTGTTAACCTCAAGGGTCGGTTCTGAAATTCAGTAAACAGTCCAGAGACGCGCCCTTCTGTCCACCGTGGATGCGTGCACTGGGGACACCGCAATACCCTCAACACTGGATTCACGTTTGTAACAAGGAAACCCTGGTCTCTGGCCACAGCCCTGGTCCACATCCTTCCCCACCCCAGGTTTTCTAAACCCATTCAGAAATCTCTCCAGCTCAGACCTATCCCCTGAGCTTCAGATCCAGCCATGCCCTGGCACTGGATACCTCAGACACACACCAGTATCAGAAGGCTTCCAGCTGCCCAGGTCAGAAAACCCCAAGGAGGCTCCCACAGCTAGAAGGTTGCCCTGTCGGGGAAGAGGACAGATCAGTCATGGTTTTCCTCCAATCGGCAGGCATTGGGCAGAGCAGTGGTAAGATAGTTGCCACTGCTCCAGACAAAGCTAGTGTTTGGGAAAATACAAAGCATCCCTGTCTTCCAGGGGTGATCTTTGTTGTGCAAAAATGCCATTTTCAGAGGCTCCCTGGAAGAAATGCCCATAGATTTCATTGGTTACAGGGGGCAGGCCTTTGGTCCAGCAGTGAAGACACAGCTGGAGGTGCCCACATGTCAGTGCCTGGGGTCAAGGCCCTGCCGCATTTCTCAGCCCAGCTTCCTGGTCACATACACCCTGGGAACAGTGGCGATAACTCAGGTACACAGCGCCCTGCTATCCACGTGGAGCAGCAGCATTGGGGTCAGGGCTCACGTTCAGCCTGGTGCAGCCCAGGTTGTGGTCATGGCTGCACGCCTTTATAGAGGTAGACTAGCAAAGGGAAGCTCTTGGTCTCTGTCTACCTTTCAAGGAATTCAGAAATCATTTTTTCAGAATGAGTCACTCAGTCTCTTCCCATAGCCAAATGGGCATGGAACAAGGTGGCTGTGATGGACTTGGGCCACTTCAGTCCTGGGAGAGGAATGGTCGCATTGGTCTTCCGAAACATCCCTCAGTGTGGAGACTGTAGGGGCGCAAGGGTGGGAAGCAGTGGGGACACCAAGGCATAAGCGAGAAGGCGGAGACTGGGATGTGCTCCAGATTTCCAAGCCGAATGTCTAGGACTTGACCGTGGATTAGAGGATGAGGGGGAGGGGGAGTAATGAGGCTTGAGCTGCTGGATGCTGGCTGTGAGGCAGCCCACCCAGGTGAGCGACCCACGTCTGGGAGGGTGGGAAATGGGGTGTGTGTGGCAGCAGGGAGGTGCTAGTTGTGCTTCAGACAGGTGCTGATTGTGGGATAGCTACAGACCCTGCTGCTCTCATCTCTTCATCAGCAACAGAAGCTCAGTTTGTTGCAGTCAAACCCTTCCATGGGCCCATCCATTCCCCATGGGGGTAGAGACCAAGCTCCCTACCTGGCTGGGGTCCTTGGAGGTATGATGGGAGTCTTTGCACTAGATCCTACCTTTGCTTTGGTTATTCTCTCCCCAAAAGCTCAGCTCTGGGCCTGGCATGACAGCCTAGCAGTTGAGGTCCTCACCTTGAATGCACAGGGATCCCATGTGGTCATGGATTCTAATCCCAGTGGCTCTGCTTCCCATCCAGCTCCCTACTTGTGGCCTAAGAAAGCAATCGAAGACGGCCCAAAGCTTTGGGACCCTGCACCTGTATGAGAGACCTGGAAGAAGCCCCAGGCTCCTGGCTTTGGATTGGTTCAGCTCTGGCCATTGTGGCTGCTTGGGGAGTGAATCATTGGATGAAAGATCTTCCTCTGTGTGTCTCTTCTTCTGTATCTGACTTTCCAATAAAAAATCTTTAAAAAAACATGGGTTGTAGACAATAGAATCACATATTTTGAAGTTGCACAGTGTGCGTGTAATCTCTCTGCAAAGCCACCAGGACACAGTAGTGTCTCCTTCCTGACCGCCTGCTGCCATCTCATCACCTCCCAGTAGCCCCACCATAAGCACTGTAACTGAATTCAGCTTTCATCTCCTGCCACCATTCATTTGATTTTGGAATTTGGCCCCCCAAATCATGCAGGAGTTTAATCTTGATTTTAACCATAGCACCCTTTCTCAATGGGTAGCTGAAACTGTGCAGAGAACCCGGTCAACCGTGGTCAGAAGATACTAAAGTGAACATTCCAGAAATCAGCAATTCATGCATTTTAAATTGCATGCTGCCGAGTGTGATCAAATCCTGCACCAACCTGCTCTGTCCCAACTGGGATGTGACTCATGACTGTCCCACATAACCCTGCCATGTACACAGCCCACTCGCTAGTCACTTGGTAGCTCTTTGGGTTGTCACACAATGTCACAGTGCTTGTTCACGCAGCCCTGCTTCACTTGGCAAGGACTCAAAAGGAAGTGGGTGGTGATGCTAGCAATTGTACTGCAATGATCATTGTTTTACCTTATTATCGTCCCTCTCAATATACTTAAGTTGTAAATTAAACTCAACCCTAAGTTTGTACAGTTAGAAAAAGCCTTGCATAAAGGTCTTGATTCTGTCTGATTTCAAGGCATCCACCGGGGGTCTTGGTACACCAGGCACTTGGTGTACCAGTGGAGGGGCAGAGGAAGCTCTTATAAATACTCGGCAAAGAAGGATGGAAACAAAGTCAATTTGAAATGGCAGCCCGCACTCTCCCAGATTCTGCGTGGGAAAGTAGTTCATTGTGACAATCAGGATGATTTTTCTTTTCAAATGAAAATGAGGAGGCTGTTTCAAGTTACCGTTTCTACAAGACCATCACAGAAATCGCTGAGAACAACTCACCTCCACTGAAGGATGGAGTTTTGCTGGCTCACTAAGTATCAGTAAGGCAGTAACCAACTCCAGCCATCTGTGGGCCTCTGGAAAGTAAGTTACAGAGCCATTTAGAAAGGCTGGAACAGGAGGAAGGGGCAGAATGAGAGGTCAGGGCGTACCTTGACCGTACTAGAGCAACATGCCTGATGCAGGTGGCTCTGCAAGGGAAAGGAGGTCCTAGCTTGTGGTGCCAAAGGCTCATAGCCAGGACTCCCTCCAGCGCCATCATCTGGAATTCGGTGATGGTGGATTTTTCAGACGGAGTGCCAAGGTGGCACAAAGCTCATGTGGTAAGAGTGCTGCTGTGTGGGCCCGGCGCGGTGGCGCAAGTGGTTGAGGTCCTTGCTTAGCACGCCCGGGATCCCATATGGGCGCTGGTTCTAATCCCGGCAGCCCCGCTTCCCTTCCAGCTCCCTGCTTGTGGCCTGGGAAAGCAGTCGAGGACGGCCCAAAGCTTTGGGAACCTGCACCCGCGTGGGAGACCCGGAAGAGGCTCCTGGCTTTGGATCGGCATGGTATCTGCCCGTTGCGCTCACTTGGGGAGTGAATCATGGGACGGAAGATCTTCCTCTCTGTCTCTCCTCTCTGTATATCCGCCTTTCCAATTAAAAAAATAATAAAAATAAATCTTTAAAAAAAAAAGGAGTGCTGCTGTGTGTATTTCTGTGTATGTGAACGTGGGAAATCCATTCTAACACCTTGATTGGACCCCATCTCCTTCCAAAGGGCCCAGCACCAAATACTGCCACTAGGTTATGTTCCCACCTTCTTAGGACCATTGACAGACTTTGGGGCTGTTGGGGGACATGCAGTATCCCAAACAGAACAGTTGGTCACAATGAGTGTGTTTTTACATGCATTGTCTCAATGCATCGGTTCTCAGACCCTTTTGGGGGGGACGTAGTTTCCCATAGACCTATCCCTGGTCCACACCTTGCCCAAGATATGTGAGATGATTAGCCAACTGGACATTTGCTAATGGTAGTGGAGACAATTAAATCAATACCACAACTTGTGACGTGTAAAAGTTAAGATGGAAGTACTGCTGTGGACCAGTATATTTCTTGAATAACAGATTATTTTTTAAACGGGTACAGGATCCCAAGGCTTTGGGCCACTCTCTATTGCTTTCTCAGGCCACAAGCAGGGAGCTGGAAGGGAAGTAGAGCAGCCAGGACACGAATCAGCACCCATACGGGGTCCTGGCAGTGGCAAGGTGAGGACTTTAGCCACTAGGCTACTGTGCTGTGCCCCTTGAGGAA